TTCAAAGAAATGCATTTTCACCATATTATTAAATAAATAAAGCCCCATCCTTACCCAGAACATCTGACCCATTGGCCACGAACTCACAATTCTGGAAGAAGCACCCTTTCTCATTATAACTATACACTTGTTTCTTTACTTTATAACCAGTAGTAGAAAAAATATTTTGAAAGAAATTATGCATTTTCACTGTATATAATCAATAGAGCTCTTTCCCCCTCACCAGAACCCCTGACCCAAGGGCCATGAGGCATTCTTCCTTATCATAACCATGCACTTCCTTTGTTTGAAAAATACCCAGGCGCACAGAAGATTTTGAAAGAATTCATGCCTATTCCCTATATAATCAATAGAGCCCCGCCCTAACACCAGAACCCCTGACCCAGAGGCCATTAAATTCATAATTTCTGAGGCAGCCATGCTCATCATAACTATGTACATAGTTTATTTAATATCCAGGAGCAGAGAAGATTTTCAAAGAATTAATGCAATTTTACTATATAATCAATGGAGCCCATCCCTAACACCAGAACCCCTGACCCAAGGGCCATGAAACAATTTCTGAAAAGGCAGTCATGCTCACCATAACTATGTTCTTAGTTAGTTTATTTAATACCCAGGAGCAGAGAAAAAGATTTTCAAAGAATTAATGCAATTCTACTATATAATCAATAGAGCCCCGCCCTAACACCAGAACCCCTGACCCTGGGGCCATGAAATTCATAATTTCAGAAGAGGCACTCTTGCTCATCATAACTATGTACTAAGTTACTTAATTTAATGCCCAGGAGCAGAGAAGATTTTCAAAGAATTAATGCATTTTAACTATATAATCAATAGAGCCCCACCCTAACACCAGAACCCTGACCCTGGGGCCATGAAATTCACAATTTTGAAAGAGGCACTCTTGTTCTTCATAACTATGTACTTAATACCCAGGAGCAGAGAAAATTATTGCAATTCTTCTATATAATCAATAGAGCCCCGCCCTAACACCAGAACCCCTGACCTTGGGGCCATGAAATTCAAAATTTTGAAAGAGGTACTCTTGCTCATCATAACTATATACTAAGTTAGTTTATCTAATACCAAGGAGCAGAGAAGAAGATTTTCAAAGAATTAATGCCTTTTCACTATATAATCAATAGAGCCCCGCCCTAACACCAGAACCCCTGACCCTGGGGCCATGAAATTCATAATTTCAGAAGAGGCACTCTTGCTCATCATAACTATGTACTAACTTAGTTCATTTAATATCCAGGAGCAGAGAAAAAGATTTTCAAAGAATTAATAACATTTTCACTATATAATCAATAGAGCCCCACCCTAACACCAGAACCCCCGACCCTGGGGCCATGAATTTCACAATTTTGGAAGAGGCACTCTTGCTCATCATAACTATGTACTAAGTTACTTTATTCAATACCCAGGAGCAGAGAAAAAGATTTTCAAAGAATTAATGCATTTTAACTATATAATCAATAGAGCCCCACCCTAACACCAGAACCCCTGACCCTGGGGCCATGAATTTCACAATTTTGGAAGAGGCACTCTTGCTCATCATAACTAAGTACTAAATTAGTTCATTTAATAACCAAGAGCAGATAAGAAGATTTTCAAAGAATTAATGTATTTTAACAATATAATCAATAGAGCCCCAACCTAACACCAGAACCCCTCACCCTGGGGCCATGAAATTCACAATTTTGGAAGAGGCACTCTTCCTCATCATAACTATATACTTAGTTAATTTATTTAATACCCAGGAGCAGAGAAAAAGATTTTCAAAGAATTCATGCATTTTAACTATATAATCAATAGAGTCCCGCCCTAACACCAGAACCCCTGACCCTGGGGCCATGAATTTCACAATTTTGAAAGAGGCACTCTTGTTCTTCATAACTATGTACTTAGTTACTTTATTTAATACCCAGGAGCAGAGAAGATTTTCAAAGAAATAATGCACTTTCACTATATGATCTATATAGCCCCACCCTAGCACCAGAACCCCTGACCCTGGGGCCATGAATTTCACAATTTTAGTAGAGGACTCAATGCTTATTACAATGATGCCAACAGTTTGACTACTTGATGTCCAGGAGTAAAGAAGATTTTTAAAGATTGCATTATTTTTGGTGGTTTTAGCCCCACCCCTCAGGCCCCAGGGGGGCAGGGACCATGGAATTCACAATTTTTGTTCCCCTTCACCCATAGATACTATATGCCAAATTTGCTTAAAATTGGTTAAGTGGTTTCAGAGAAGAAGCTAAAAATGTTCAAATGTTAACACACGATGCACGACGCACAACGCACGCCGACGGACGAGAACGGATAGCAATAGGTCACCTGAGTGACTCAGGTGACCTAAAAATGGATATTGGCTAATCCGAATTTTCTCTACTTTTCTTAAAATTTTAAGATATTTTAGTTATTTTTATATGCTTCCTATATTTAAATTTTTCTTATTTTCACATATGGTAAAGTTGTCACACAAATATACAAAATGATATAAAAACAAAAAGTTTTGACCATTTACTAAGAGAGAAAAAACACTTTTTACCAATTTTTGGCTCAAATCTGAACTTAGATTGGAAGCTTTTAAAAGCTAACATAATTGTAGTTTGTTTGGAAAATCATATTTATTTGATATATTTTAAAACTTTAGTTCCTTATCATTAATTTAACTTACATTTAAAAAATTTTTCCAAGTCTTTGATTGTGTAAAAATTATGACTAAATTCATTGTTCTATAATTTTTTTGAGAGGCATTAAGAAGATATTTTCATACGCCACCATTACGCCAAAAATATAGTCCCTGATAGATTTCAAACTCAGTTTACCATTTCTATTTAAAGTTGTACAATTGTGATGAAGAAAGAAAAATATGATCTTTTAAATCTTTTGCATCTAAATATATACCACATATAAGCAAATATACTTTGAATATTTCATCTAGTCAGAAACCAGACAAGAATCCCTCCTTGCAAAATTTTAAATCCATATTTTAGCCCCATCCTTGTTCCTGAGGTCATGATTTAAACAAATATAATAGTTTTGTGATACATAAGAATGCTTGCATATTTAAATATGACTAATCATGGCCCAGTTGTTCTTGAGAACATTTTTTTAATAAAGTGTTCCATACATGTATAATCCCATCTAAATCTTGATCCCCTATTGTGGTCCTACCCAACCCAAAGAGCCCATGATTCAAACTAACTTGAATCTTCACTACCTGAGGATGATTGCAAATTACATGTACCAGTAATTTGACTAATCATGGTGCTCTTGAGAAGATTTTAAGATTTATTCCTATATGTTCCTGTTACACTTTGATCACCTTTCCTTCTGGAGACATGCTTTGAACAAACCTGAATCCACTCTTTGGCAGCAAGCTTTCTCATAAGTTGCACCTTTTTGGCCTGGTGGTTCTTGGAAAGATTTTGAATTGAGCACTACCTATTTTTGCCTTTTCTTGATTATCTCCAACTGGAGATGACAGGTCCTTCATTTGGACAAATTTTAATCCCCTTCAACAGGGATACTTTGTGCCAAGTTTGGTTAAAATTTGAAAGTGGTTCTGGAGAAGTCAAAAATGTAAAAAGTTAAACAGACAAACAGACAGATAGATAGTTTTTGACCATTAGAGCTGAAAGTGCACAAATTTAAGTAGGAAGTATTAATTTAAATACATGTACAAACTTTTGGGGATATTCCTTTTCAGATTTTGTAAAGCAAATTCTTTAATACACATTTTAGAATTGAAAAAAATATGTGGGTTTGTTTAGGTCAAAATCAAGCAGGTGCTTGAAAATGACAATAAGCTTATCATCCTAAAAAAAAACAGTACACCAAAATTCAGCTTAGTTGCAAAATCATTTCTGAATCATTTATACATTATATTTTATCCTTGACTTTACACCCAGATATTGATAAGCCATTTCCACTTATTACCCCTTTTTCTAGCTTAATTCAATTTAAGGATCAAGCAATGGTCTCTGTATTTACTCAAGTAGTGGACCCTTCTTTCTGTTTAACCTAGGCAACAAAGCTAGTACTTCGTTGTACTTAAATGAGCCTAACAGTTCCCAGAAAATTCATTCTATATTGCAGCTCTTACCATTTTCTATTGCATTTCATATCCTTTGAATGTTTGTATGGAATATCAATATTCCTCCCTGACTAATTACCTTGTAGAGACCCTGTAACAAGTGTCAGACTTCTCAAGGTCTCACACAGCTACTTGACCAATCAGGAGAAACTTCATCACCTGTAGTTCCATATACAAATGACCTGCATTTCTATTTTAATTATTTTTTTTTATCTGTTATTAAAATATTTTTTACATGTATTCTGTTCAGAGATGAATGTTTCTCAAAGGAACAACATTTGTTCAGGGCAAAGGATCTGATTTTTTGAGGTGTCTACATGATTTTAAAACAAAGGGATTTGAGGCCAAAATAAAAATAAATGGATATGAGGCTATATAATTGGATATGATGCTAAAATAGAAAAATCCAGTAAAGTTATGTACATACTTCGTTTTTTGGCATTGTCTAATATGACATATATAACATTTCCTTCTACTTATTTTTCACAATTCAATAGAGATTTTTAAAGAATCTTTTTACTTTATAGATTTATGTAGTGAAATTAATAACTGGAGTAATAACTTGAAAGGTTAAAAGTTACATTCCCTGCTAACCATTGTAGCTGAAATTGAAGCAAAGACACCAGCACTCTAAAAATAAAGTGGCTCCCTGGGCTATCAGTAGCAGTAACTAATGCAATTAATATCACTGAGAACCATTCACTTGGCAGTGAAAATTCCTCCACACACTCATAATCTATAGGAGGGGATGCACATTCAATAACAATTTATCTTCCATTTGTGCGATATTGGAAAAAATGAACAAAACTGTGTTTTATAACTTGTTTTACATATCTGCTTATCAATACTGTCAATCAGACTGAGATACATTTCAGAAAATCTATATAACCTTTATTTTCTCTGATTTTAGAGGTTGAGATGGTGGAAATCTCCCCTTGTTGTTTGATGGGTACTGTCAGTTCTGTGTTTTCCCTGGAGATGTCCTCGGATATCACACTGACACCACTGTCTGCAGAAGCAACACATTGTTTAGAATAACATTACATTAGTTAAACCACATTTCATTTCAGCTATACATGTACATGTTTATTACACAAATAAAATCAACACCCTAGCCTTTTTTTAAGATCTCATATACATTACTTATATTGTTTTCAGTCAGACAATGTAAACTTTATGGATTTATTATTAAAAAATGAATTAATAAGTATATGTATGTGTATTGAAGGGTTTAACAAGATAAGAACCTTCACTGGGTTTGTAATTTGGGCCTTCAAGTTCAGCTTTCTTTCTCTGTATAAGGTCATCCAAACTGGCCTGGGTTTCCGTATCCAAGGTAACTGATGACCCTGTGGCCTCTCCTTCACTTTCTTGCCTTGACCCTTTGACATTTTGATTATCTTGCCTTGACCCTATGACCTCTAGAGAGTTTTTATCATCATCTCTTGGAATTTTTTTCTTTCCTTTAGATTTTGTCTTTTTCTTCCTAAGTGCTGAAAGACAGGGTGTATGCTTTCAGACTATCAGTTGTGTTTGGACATTTTTCCTCTGAATTTACCACTTTAAATAGCTACTAAAATTACTTTCATTCAACGGTTTATCACAGAACGGAAAGATGACACTGAATTATGGACTTAAGAAATTTCTATATAAATATGTACCTCTAAATGGCTAAATATCACATTCTTTTTTGTATCACTTAATTACCAAGTCTGGTAAATGTTGAAAGAAAAACAAATGCCAGTGATTCCTATAAGCTTGGTTGCAAGAAGACCATTACAAAAATGTTAAGTCACATTTAAAAAGAGAATAAAAATGTACAAAACTGATGGTAAAAACAAGGATATTCACACCTGCTGTTGAATCCTACATGTGTGATTTTAAATGTTAACATGTGACAGCACTTTATAACCTGATTTACTGCCTTGTTTGAAAGACATTAACATCATTAGGTTTTAAGATAAATCTCATGCAGGGCCTAGCACAGGTTTCTGTTTTTTTGTAGCAAACCTTTCCATGATTGTATGCCCACATTAAACATAAAGAAACACTTTAATATTTGTAACCACTGGACAGACAGAGGATGTTAATGAGTGATTCAAGCTTCTCTGCTATTTAATATTTGCTAGATTTGGTTGCATTTTATTTTAGAAGACGATTCTTATCTGTGTATCTAAGACTTAAAATCAAATGCTGATGACTGCAATCTGCTCACTATAGTAAACCTCAATAACTATCCCTGAAATCTTCAACCAATATAAAAAAAATACACCCACAGCATATTTGCTCAGTGTAAATTTCTTTTCTAAGGACAAAAAGTTCTAAAATTCTAATCTGTTTGATAAAAAAAAAATAATTGAAAATGTTTTTTTTTCTTGAAAACTATCTTTCTTACAGTTACATAAATGTAATGAAAAAAAACCTTGATGTGTTTGCTAGAACAATGCACTGCAGAAACAAAGGTTTAAATTTTTGAACTTGAACAAATACCCAGGAGAATCAGACAATTTTCCAATTTCACAATTAAGTCTGCAAGTATTGACCACCCACGACCTTGTACAATTTTTGAGTGTAGGCGTATGATATATGAGAATTTATCCAGACAATTAATTAACACTGATCTCTGGCAGTAAAATGCTTACAGGCGTAAACCATGTTTCACAGACGATAAACAAAACAACCACATTTAGACATCATTTTCTGTCACAGAAAAAAATGCTTACAATAGGGAAACAGAATGAACATGGAGGAATAAATCATAATGAAAATAGCAAATGGTAGGGATTTTTCAGTCATAATTAATCAAAAATAGTTCCTGAATAAAATAATGTCAATATAGGATTTAAACTTCAAATACACTTTTAACAACAAATTCAAAGTATATTCTAAATATTTTGAATGGGGTATTACAACATACACTTAACTTAATCACAAATTTACCATCATCTTCCGCAGAATGTGGATTTTTGGAAATTCTCCACTTGTGGAGTGTAAAGTCTTCTCCACCTGTAAACAGCACATCAGGATCGGATCCACTCCACTGCACACACAGCAGACGACCCCTGTGACCATGGTAACTGGCAATTGTCTGACCTTTACTCACTTCCCAAACCTTCAGGCCATAAGAATATACAAATAAACCATTCAATTTCCTGTATTATAATTAAATATTGAAGCACTAGCTAGTAAAATACCTCTAAATCAAAAGACTCTGGGCCAAAACACTCATCTGAGTCATCTACTGTTTTCTGACATCTACAAAATCTAAGTTAATAAAGCCAATTATTATCCCCATCATTTCAGAGTTCATGACTTCAACATTCCTATTTACAGTAATGGTTGGATGTCTACTTTACAATTGTGGTTTTGTTCCCCTTCCTAAAGTTTACATATTTCTGTGTAAAACTTTGACCACATACCCCTGGTATAGTGGCCCCAACCTGGCCCTGGGGGCTATAATTTGATCAACTTTGAATCTATTACATGTCTAGGGATACCTGCATGTCAATATGACTAAGATCCTGCTATTCTTGTTGAAGATTTTTTTAGAGTTCAAAAAATATGAAGTGTGGAGATGTGTAGAAAAAAACATAGGTAATCAAAGATTACGAAGCTCACCTCGACGAATGTTATCTACATGTAAGGCAAATTTCACATCATATTTTTTTTCTAGTTAGGGTACATCCCAAGATCAATATCCATGCAAGTTTGATTTAATTATAGACCTGCTAAAAAAACTTTTGACCTGTTTAGTAATCAAGAAAATTTTGGTCAGTTCCAACATCCAAAGCAAGTCTGAAAGTTTTCATCCTTAGATGCACCATCTATGCAAGTTTAATCATAATAGGCCATAATATTATATAGCTACTCCAAAAAATTACCCTGGTCACTCATCTGGAAAATGTACGTCAGATTCAGAATCCAAGGCAAGTCTGGAAGTGTCCATCCCTAGATACATCATCCATGCTAATTTGGTTAAAATATGGCTAAAATTCACTCATGTGGAAAATCTAGGTCAGATCAAGCATTCGAAGCAGGTTGGTTAGTGTACATCCCTAGATGCATCATCCATGAAAGTTTGGTCAAGGTAGGGCTTATAGTTACTTGGGAACGAGACTACTCCTAAATCTAAACCTGGTCTCACATGTGGAAAATCTAGGTCAGATCCAGCATCCGAAGCAAGTGTGGTAGTGTCCATCCTTTGGATGCATCATCCATGCAAGTTTGGTCAGGGTAGGGCTTATAGTTACTTGGGAATGGACCTGCTCCTAAAACTTTAACCTGGTCACTCATCTGGAAAATCTAGGTCAGATCCAGCATCCGAAGCAAGTGTGGTAGTGTCCATCCCTAGATGCATCATCCATGCAAGTTTGGTCAAGGTAGGGCTTATACTTACTTGGGAATGGACCTGCTCCTAAAACTTTAACCTGGTCACTCATCCAGAAAATCTAGGTCAGATCCAGAATCCGAAGTAAGTGTGGCCATGTCCATCCCTAGATGCATCATCCATGCAAGTTTGGTCAAGGTAGGGCTTATACTTACTTGGGAATGGACCTGCTCCTAAAACTTTAACCTGGTCACTCATCTGGAAAATCTAGATCAGATCCAGCATCCGAAGCAAGTGTGGTAGTGTCCATCCCTAGATGCATCATCCATGCAAGTTTGGTCAAGGTAGGGTTATAGTTACTTGGGAATAGACCTGCTCCTAAAACTTTAACCTGGTCACTCATCTGGAAAACCTAGGTCAGATCCAGCATCCGAAGCAAGTGTGGTAGTGTCCATCCCTAGATGCATCATCCATGCAAGTTTGGTCTAGGTAGGGCTTATAGTTACTTGGGAATGGACCTGCTCCTAAAACTTTAACCTGGTCACTCATCTGGAAAATCTAGGTCAGATCCAGCATCCGAAGCAAGTGTGGTAGTGTCCATCCCTAGATGCATCATCCATGCAAGTTTGGTCAAGGTAGGGCTTATAGTTACTTGGGAATTGACCTGCTCCTAAAACTTTAACCTGGTCACTCATCTGGAAAATCTAGATCAGATCCAGCATCCGAAGCAAGTGTGGTAGTGTCCATCCCTAGATGCATCATCCATGCAAGTTTGGTCAAGGTAGGGCTTATAGTTACTTGGGAATGGACCTGCTCCTAAAACTTTAACCTGGTCACTCATCTGGAAAATCTAGATCAGATCCAGCATCCGAAGCAAGTGTGGTAGTGTCCATCCCTAGATGCATCATCCATGCAAGTTTGGTCAAGGTAGGGCTTATAGTTACTTGGGAATAGACCTGCTCCTAAAACTTTAACCTGGTCACTCATCTGGAAAATCTAGGTCAGATCCAGCATCCGAAGCAAGTGTGGTAGTGTCCATCCCTAGATGCATCATCCATGCAAGTTTGGTCTAGGTAGGGCTTATAGTTACTTGGGAATGGACTCTGCTCCTAAAACTTTAACCTGGTCACTCATCTGGAAAATCTAGGTCAGATCCAGCATCCGAAGCAAGTGTGGTAGTGTCCATCCCTAGATGCATCATCCATGCAGGTTTGGTCCAGGTAGGGCTTATAGTTACTTGGGAATAGACCTGCTCCTAAAACTTTAACCTGGTCACTCATCTGGAAAATCTAGATCAGATCCAGCATCCGAAGCAAGTGTGGTAGTGTCCATCCCTAGATGCATCATCCATGCAGGTTTGGTCAAGGTAGGGCTTATAGTTACTTGGGAATAGACCTGCTCCAAAAACTTTAACCTGGTCACTCATCTGGAAAATCTAGGTCAGATCCAGCATCCGAAGCAAGTGTGGTAGTGTCCATCCCTAGATGCATCATCCATGCAAGTTTGGTCTAGGTAGGGCTTATAGTTACTTGGGAATGGACCTGCTCCTAAAACTTTAACCTGGTCACTCATCTGGAAAATCTAGGTCAGATCCAGCATCCGAAGCAAGTTTGGTAGAGTCCATCCCTAGATGCATCATCCATGCAAGTTTGGTCCAGGTAGGGCTTATAGTTACTTGGGAATGGGACTTGCTCCTAAAACTTTAACCTGGGACGCCGACGCTAACGCCGACGCCGACACCGACGCCGACGCCGACGCCGGGGGTATAGCATAAGCTCATCTCGACTTCGTCGAGGTGAGCTAAAAATGCAAAAAAATATACCTTTTACAAATAGAATGGCCAAGAATTTTAAATAATATAAAACATTCTACTCAAAATCCCACTTTCACCTTCACGTGTTGAGCAAGGGAAAACATGTCTTATGCAAATACTTTTGTACTTTATAATATCTAAGACATGCATTAAGGCCCTGGCTAACAGAAGAGGCATTGTAGCAGTATTGTACACTTATAAATGTAGCGGTAATGTATACTATTTTGTAGTGGTAATGAGTTTGTAGCAGTAATGACTATTTTGAAAATGTAGTGGTAATGTAATGCACCCGATTTTTTCCCTATACATTCAAATGAACTCTGACCCCATAGTTGTCCTTACCTAGTCCTTGTGGCCATGATCTTCACAAACTTAAATCTACACAACATTAGATGCTTACATATGTGGCTCTGTTATTCTTGAGAAGATTTTTTTTCTATATACTCCAATGAAAATCTTTAATTCCTTATTATGGCACTTCTTAAGCCCCATGCGACCTTGACTTGAACTTGAATCTGTACTACATCTTGCATATTTTAAAATATGACTAATTATTGTAACTTGGAAAAACAAGAGGCCCATGGGCCACATTGCTCACCTGAGCACTGTGGCTAGGAAAAAAGCAAAAATCAGTTCAGTATTGAAAAGCTTAAATGCATAAGTGGTCACGACCTACCCCTAAAAAGGGGGGGGGGGGTTATGATTTGGAAAAAAAATGAATCTACACTAACTAAGGATGCTTACATATTTCTTTGACTAACTGTGGCTTTTTTTCCTACAAGTTTAAACTTTCATTGTGGCCCCACCCTGCCCCCGGGGGTCATGATTTGATCAAACTTGAATCTACACTATCTGAGGATGCTTCCATATAAATATGACCAATCATGGCTTTGCTGTTCTTGAGAAGAAGATTTTTAAAGATTTTTCCTATATAGTCCTATATAAAACTTTGATCGTCCATTGTGGCCTCACCCTACCCCCGGGGGTCATGTATTCAACAAACTTGAATCTACAGTACCTTAGGATGCTTTCATATAAATATGACAAATCATGGCTTTGCTGTTCATGAGAAGAAGACTTTTGAAAATTTTTCCTATATATTCCTATGTTAAACTTTGATTGTCCATTGTGGCCCCACCCTGCCCCCAGGGGTCATAATTTAAACAAACTTGAATCTATACCACCTGAGGATGCTTCCATATAAATATGACCAATCATAGTTTTTGCTGTTCTTGAGAAGAAGATTTTTAAAGATTTTTCCTATATACTCTTATGACAAACTTTGATCGCCCATTCTGGTCCCACCCTGCCAACGGGGGGTTATGATTTGAACAAACTTGAATCTACACTATCTGAGGATGCTTCCATATAAATATGACCAATCATAGCTTTGCTGTTCTTGAGAAGAACATTTTTAAAGATTTTTCCTATATACAATGTACTCCTATGTCAAACTTTGATCACCTATTGTGGCCCCACGCTACCCCCTGGGGTCATGATTTGAACAAACTTGAATCTACACCATCTGAGGATGCTTTCTTATAAAGACCAATTATGGCTTTGCTGTCCTTGAGAAGAAGATTTTTAAAGATTTTTCCATATATATTCCTATGTAAAACTTTGATCGTCCATTGTGGCCCCACCCTACCCCCGGGGGTCATGATTTGAAGAAACTTGAATCTACACTATCTGACGATGATTCCATATGACTTTCATCTTTCCTGGCCCATTGATTCTTGAGAAGAAGATTTTTAAAAGATGCCATTAATTTTTCACTATTTTGTAATTATCGCCTCTTGAAAGAGGGCGTGGCCCTTCATTTGAACAAACTTGAATCCCCTTCACCCAAGGATACTCTGGGCCAAGTTTGGTTGAAATTGGCCCAGTGGTTCTGGAAAAGAAGATTAAATTGTGAAAAGTTAACGACGACGACAACAACAACAACAACAAGCCTTCTGCTCAGGTGAGCTAAAAACTGTCATATTTGATTTGTAAACATCATGTGGTGACTCCTAATGGGATGATACTGGATAGTAAAATTTTGTAGGAGGAAATGACCACTTCAAACCTCAATTTTCAACATCCCTTCATACATTCAGTTTTATTACTACATAAAGAGCCATTTAAATAAATTTTTGCATTACTTCCACCTTTATGTTAATCAAGGATTAAATCAAGCTCATTTCGATAGTGAGTAAAACAAGAACCCATGAGCCTTGATAGTCACTGAGTATTGCAAGTTTTTTCATGCTATGATCAACTTAGCCTCACAAAGGATTGGAACTCAGACTCAAGTGACATGAGGACTCTATGATCATCATCACACTGCATGATGTTTGCTTCCTAGATGCTCAGGAGTAAGGAATATTTTCAGAGATATAATGATGAACTAGTCCGAATTTGGGTCTGAGGTCTTGAGTAAAAAAAATCAGTTTGATAAGTGGCTGATAACTTACTTACAACATAGGGTTTACAGTTTGCCTGCTAAATGTTCAGGAATCAGGGATGGGGTAATGGTAATGCGTAATGGTAAGTGACAGTAATTAATTACAAATTTCGATTTAATTGAAAGTAATGTGTAATTGGACAAATTTTAAATTACATGTAGCTAGCCTTCTTCCTAATTGTGAAATTCAAGTTCCCTGGGTTACTTTGTTCAGGCTCTGGTGAGAGGCTAAGTTGGTCAGATATTGAAAATTCATTATATTAATTAATGTTCCTTTGAAAATCTTATTTTCAGAAATAAATAAGATTGTCAAAGAAACATTAATCACATCATTTATAGTTTCCATCAGAACATTAGTACAGTTGTTCTAATTACGAGATAAACTTACCCTGGCTGAGCCATCAAAAGACACAGACACCAGTTTGTTCTCATCGTGTGGGCTCCACTGAAGACCAATAATTCTGTTATTGTGTCCAAATAGGGTATACTTAGCCTCCGATATCAACACAACATCATCACTGTTCTCAGGAACTCTTCCTACAAACAAGCTACAGTTTTAGAATTGAAATGATACAACTGGTAATGCTATATAATATGTTGACCAAGTACTAGTATATATGAGAACAACATGAGGTTGGAATAAAGAAGGAAATGTAACTAACAATGTAAAATATACATTTGAAATTTTTACAATTTCTGTACATGCTACTTGTTCTGTACAATTTTTCACCGTGTTCAGAATGTGACAACTATTGATCAAACTCCCAATTCAAACCAAATTTTTGTACTGATTGCCTCATAAGACTGGCATTGTCAGAAATTTGGTAAGAAAAGCTTTTGGCTATTTTCACATAAAACCAAATTATATTTATGCTTAATACAGTAAATTGCACTTATAACAAAGTGCCAGGGATGGGCAGTTTTACTTTGTTGTAATGTAATTTGTTACATCCATTTTCAAAATATATAACTTAAAGCCATGGGGAATAAAAATCACTCTGCTGTAAGCATAAATTCATTACATTATGAGTTTGCTATAAGTGTGTTTTACTGTATTCTTTTTCAGTACTTCAAGGAAATAAATACTACCGTAGTTGAACTCTTCTAGATTCGATGAAAGCAAACTTATTTGTACCAATGACTCAAAACTAGGGATGTCAACGAATAGTCGACTATTCAACTATCAGTTGAATGGACCGATGATCGAATAACGAAACGACACTCGAATAGATAAATTCAATAAAAGAGTGTTAAAGAGATGGAATTCCTATCCTAAAATTGAGAAACCGTCTTTCCTCACACACAGTCGATAAGATAATTTTCCTCATCAAAAACTGTTTCCTTTTCATGTAGAAAGTACAGTAATTAGAAATACTTCACTTCTGCGAGAATTATTTGTCGATAAATGTGTGTTTTTGTAATAGATTTATCTCGCTATACTGCACTCTCTTTGTAAAATTATTAATTGGACTTGATCTCATACCATGTACCCATTATAGCCGTGACATGTTTGGACACTACGATAATTATTATAAAATTAATATTCTTTTCACATATTTTAAAGACATTTTGATAGTTGGTACAAAAAGTATATATTCAAATATTTAATATCATCACCGACATCGTGTGCCCCCCCCCCCCCCCCCCCCCCAAATTTTAATAAGCTTTAAAAATATATATCGTATTGTTATTTTTTATGCTTCCTAAATACCTGACTTTACAGACAAATTTATGAATATGATTGACAGGGAAATCATACATTTTGGAGAAATTAGCAGTCTATATTTAGTAATTTGGGGTTAAATATGTCATATGTATCAGTGAAGTTTGAAATGAAATTATAGTTTCCGAAAAAGTTTCAAATATATTCGACTATTGTTCGAATAATGCAATCGAATATTCGACTAAAGAAAATAAATATTTTGACATCCCTACTCAAGTTTTAAATTTTGTAAGCACTTATAACTTCTGACCAATCCAAATACAGAAACTCTTACCCAGTATGGAGGATAAGTCCACCACCTGAATGGTGGCTTCATTAGATCCCATGGCCATGTAAAACCTCTGACTGCTTGTGGTGTCTACATTGTGGACAGGATGCCATTGGATGGAATTCACCAGTTTGTGGTGGATGTGAACAACACATAGAAGTTTTAACAGTGGAGGCTTGTAGATTTCCACAGAACTGTAAATAAACAAGAGGTACTATGAGCGAGCTCACAAAATTGTACCTCCCCCTCCCCCCCCCCCCCAATGCATTTTTAAAGTGCCCATATACAATGTTCCAAATGTGACTTTGACCTTGCCAAAATGACCTTGGTTAAAAAAAAACACATCTATAAATAAACATGACACGTTCTTCTGGAGGCTTGTGGATTTCAAATGAGCTGTAAATAATTTTGACGTGAAGTTTTCACGTAAAGATTAAAATCTGTTTACATACCCATCATCGTTGCCAATGGCTACCAAAGAATAATCTGGATTCCAGCTTATTTCACTTCGAATTGGGACTCTTGGCTAAAATTATAAACATTTTGTTCATTAATTTAAAGTAGGGTTGTCTAATAGATCAATTTTTATAACCAGTTATACTTCTGCCTTGCCAATCGAGTACTTGGTCAATATTCGAGAAAAATCAAAATTTAAAACTATCTATCTTCACAGTCTTATATCATCCTTTTTCATTATACATAATTTCAGGACCTAAATGCTGTTGTTAATTCAGTCATTGATTGAAAAGAAGAATACGAAATTTAAATATTTTTAATAAATATAATACACTTAAGTATGATAAACATTCAATTTTGTTTTAATGGAACTTTGAAATATATGTAATTATCAATATCAAATCAAACATAAATACATTTCATGAATTTCAATATTCAGTTCAGATCATTCGCAACAGCATTTTAAAAATTTTATCTGTCAACTATATGGCTCGTGTTATATTGTCAGATTGTGTGTCAGACAAATTTTTGTTGCGCAGAGAATTTAGAAAGTTTGAAAAAATTATTTCTCAGGTATCACTTCAAATTCACATGCTTTTGATACATAAATGATTTAACATATTATTTTCCCTCCCACGTAAGTAAATTCGGTTTCACAAAGTTGACATTTAAAATTTATAGATTTAGAATTGTTTAAAATATTCACAGATTGAAGAAGATGAAAGCATTTTTGCTACTAATTAATAAAGAGACTATGCTTAAGTTTATTGAATTAATTTGAACTGTGATTTGCAATCATGATATGTCCTGGCTATAAACAAGACAATGAGCTTGTCACTGACTGAGGTGCTTATGACTGTTGTCAAACATGGCAAGGTCTAAAATCTACACTAGGATATTGAGATGATGGAAAGATGAGTTCTGAGGGCAGAATGTGTTTGACAAATAATGATATCAAATAATGAAGAAATATTGCATGGTTTCATTTTATTTCCAATATTCATATACTGATTCTATTATTCAGTACTGGGACTTTCTGATGAGGATTCAAGTAACCAGTTACCCATTGACAACCCTAATTTAGAGTTAAAATTCTACTACAGTCAAACTTGTCATAGCGGTCACCTTTATCCAGCGGCCACCTGTCCTTTGCGGTCATTTTATTTCCTCCCAATGAATTTTCCTATATAATGTAACTCTATTAAGCGGTCACCTGTGTAACGCGGTCAGCATTCATCAAATTTCATGTAAAATCGCCATTTTTCCCTCGTATATAGCGGCCATTTTGTCCGATCACGTGACCAGATCTAAAGTCAGGTGACTCCCAATTTTTGTCACTAATGTAAATTGGTCGTGTGTAGCGAGATCATGAAAAAAAAAATTGGCCTTATTAAAACCATTTAAAATATTGGATAATTTATTTATTCATTTAACAAAGCTAAACCAAGGTGCTAGTGACCGAAAAGGTTATTGGGAAAATGGACTTACGAGAATCTTAATCTTATTAAATTGGAATCTGGTTAAAAAAAATTCTGAATGATACACAAGGCATCCTTATATTTATCTATTAATGGATACAATAATTAGGTGTTTCCTAATTATTAGTTCACCTTTGACATGTCCAACTCCTATAGGTGTAATTGTGTAAATGCATGACAAGCCGTTTTTAACACATAGGAAATGTATTATTTGTAGAAACCCTAATTAATTGTTTTGTTTACTCAATGTGTCCTGATTATCTCATGATTTTCAACTAAGTAAGACAACAGTTAGGATTAGTCACGCTTCATTGGTCACAACACCTGTGAATTTGATATCAATTTGTATTGTGCACAGCTTTGATAAACTGAGATGACTTGTCTGTTTATTACGCTACTATTTACATACAATTATCAGGACTAACTAAACTTGTTTTTTAGAGGCAGTTTAGATAAAAAAAAATATATTTTATTCATGGCACAACATGAAAATGTAATCTTATAATAAAAGAAAGTTTTGTTGTTGTTTGGAGGGAGGATAATGGCAGTGCCCTATCAGACTCAATATAGTTTTTGTTGGAGTCATCAAATTTATCTTGAACTTAATCTTGAGACTTTTTAAATTAAAAATAAATGTGAGACCATCGATGTCCAAAGCACATCTTTCTTTTATATTCTATGATGTAGTGTTTCAAAACACAGAACTTACATAAATTGGAAAAGAATTTTTCTTGAAAAAAGAAGAACCTCTTTTCAAAGGTCACCTCTCTATAAAGGTCACTTTTAATGGTTCCAGCAGGTGACTGCTTAATACAGGTTTGACTGTACATACAAAATAAAACCATTGTCACTTTCAAACTTTGAACTGCTTTCAATAAATGAATTTAAATTTGCAATTTTTGCAGTTTTACTGTTGTTTCCCTTTAAAGCATGTCACTTTCAAATACACATAAGAAAAAAAAAACTTGGGTTAAAAAACCTTTGGTCCATTTGTTTTGAAAATGACTGAATTTATATCCTGAGCCTCATTCTGGAATTTCTTTGGGTCATGTGACAGGATGATGCCATCTCCCACACTGTACAACACAAAAGATGACTCATTTTCTACTTCTGAAGAAAAAAATATGATATATTCACAACATAAAAAATATAATATATTCATGACATATGGTTTAAGAACCAAAATTCATTACTTTCATTTCATTTCTGACCAAAAAAATGTTTAAACATTTATTTTACCGGTAATCACATTATTCAAATAAATTGATCTTGCTGCATAGTCTTATAAATGCATGACCTTTTTCTAAAAAGCACAAATTTATATAGTACAAAAGAAGCATTAAAGTATACTTTTTTGTACTTTATTTTGGTATGGGTTTAGATATAGGGGCAGATCACTCTAACTGCAGAAAAATACCACAGAATCAGAACTTTTTAGTGTGCAGTGTAGAGAGGGTTCTTAAATGTTTTAAGTAATTTGTATCAAGAAATTTGGTTAATTTCTATACAATGCAATTAAATCCTGTAACAGTACAAAAGTGGCAGTACTTTACCTGAACAGGGAGGTCCCCAGGCCACAACATATACTGTTCTCCTGTGGTAATGGGAGGATACAAAGGGAGGTCTGAAATATTATAAAAGCGGAAAATTATTCAAACGAGGAGTTTTAGAGAAAGCTATTTTTAATTGACCTCCATTTGATGTCCTGTATAAAAAAAGTAGAAACAGGCTGTCCATGTTCAAGACAACTCTGTGTTAACTTTTTCCTGCAAAATACAAAATGTTATGCTCAGCTAAATCTATTGTTGGGAAAATTAATCTTTTAATGTAACTTATGATAATAGCTCATTGATAACCAACTTGTTAGATAAGGTATCAAATACACCAACTCTGCCATCATCTGTCCCAAATCCAAGACGTCCTTCTTTTTCTGGATGCCAGCAAAGCTGGAACAGAGAAACAAATTATACTCGACATTTTTAGCACCATTTTGCTTTTAATTACTGTATGAATTACATTAGAAAGAATTTTTTAAATAAGGAGTCCATGGGCTACAACACTCAGCTGAATCACCTTGGCTCTGATGTTTTTCATCAGATCCCCCATCCCTTTCATTCCCATTAAAATGTTGTCCCCGTATTATTAATACCCAATTCTAGTCCCAAATGGTCATGACATTACTGCTCTAAACAAAATATGGGATTGCTTCAATACCAGTATCACTTGTCCTGCTGTCCTGGAGAACAAGATTTTTTTTATTATGTGAAATTTGATCCACAAATTTAGACCCCCCCCCAAAAAAAAAAGTTGAATTCACACAGTTTGGGAATGTTTGCATATTAATATGACTCAGTGTGGTCCTGCTTCTCTTGAAAAGATTTATTTTTAATTAATTTCCTGTATTCCTGTACATTCCCCATATGTAAAACATGTCAAAGTTTGAATACCTATTATGACCCAATCTCCTGGGGGTCATGATTTGAAAAAAATTGAATCCACACTATGTCAGGAAGCTTTCAAAAAAATTTCATCTTTTCTGGTCTAATGTTCTTAATAAATTTTTGGGAAGATTTTTAAATGATCCCACCGTATTTTAACCTTTTCTTGATAATCTTCCCTTGGATGGGGGCAAGGTCCTTTATTTGTACAATTTTGAATCTTCTTTAACAAAGGATACTTTGTGCCAAATTAGGTTGAAAATGGCCAAGTAATTCATGAAAGATGAAAATGTGAAAAAATTAAAACAATGACGACAGACAACAGACAAATTTTGATCAGAAAAGCTCTTTTGAGCCTTTTGGCTCAGGTTAGCTAAAAAGAAAAGAAAGATAAACAGAAAAGACAAAAAAATGAGACTTACAGCTGTAACCTTTGACCTTATGCCCTGCCAAAGAAGAGCAACATCAAATGGGTTGTTAACATTATTCATATTCCACAATCTTATCATGCTGTCACCAACACCAATAGCAAGCCTTCCTGTAATCACAAGGAAAAAAGTTCTTTCATAAAGTTCTGATTTTAAGGATGAAGTACTAGGAACAAATCAGGTAAAAAGTGCATGACTGTGCATGCTGATGAATGTTCTGATCTGCAATTTAATTTTTTATGAAAATGGGGAGAAAAAATATATATAATCAATGATGGATACTCAAAGACTGAGAACAAATTTGAAAACATACTTTTTAAAAAAAATACTTATCTACCCGGTACATTATACACACTACATAAGACATGTCAATGATCAGAACAAGTCCTAACAAGAAGACTGTGAGCCAATGCTCACTAATAATACCCCCACTCTGATGTGAATACACAAGTTCAGTTATGGACAAACACAGTGATAATCAGGAAATTGACATTGGATTAGTAAAAAATGAATCCCACCATATGGCATGCCTAAACAAACATTGTGTTAAGATTTCAAGCACCTGCGAAGAGTAGTTGCTGAGAAAACTACGACCAAAATTTGTTACGTATGGTACGGACAGATGCCCGGATAAACAGGAAGTTTACATCAGATTCGTACAATAAATAACCCCACCATATGGCATGCCTAAACAAATAGTGTGTTAAAATTTCAAGCACCTGGGATGAGTAGTTGCTGAGAAAACTGCGACCAAAGTTTGTTATGTATGGTACGGACAGATGCACGGATAAACAGGAAGTTGACATTGGATTAGTACAAAAACTAGATGCGATCTCGTTGCGAGCAACGAGTGGGTCTTCCGTCCGATTTTTTTGATAAGATGAGAAAATAATTTGATTGAGATTTTCGTTCAAATATAATGATATAAATAAATTATTAAGACAAACAATGTCGCTTTAGTAACGTGTAACAAAATATTGATCATTAAAGAATTATAGATTAAAGACTTTCAGCCCCTCTGGATCCGTATTTTGAGGGGCCAGTCCCTTTTTTCTTGATATCACATTAAAGCTCTCATGATTTTGAACAATTTTTGTTTAGAAATTCTTTTTCGTTTCTGAGATATTTGCAAAAGAAATATTTAGGGGCCAGACCTTCAGCTCCTTAAGGGGGACGTTTAGCAAAAATTGAAAGGTTGTATATTGTTAAGAACATTTATTCAATATTGCTTATCAAAATATTTCCCACTTTCGAGGTATAAAGCATCAAAGATTTAGCATTCTGGCCCCCTTTGGCCCTTAATTACGAAACAAATGAAGTATATATCACAATATATAGATGTGGATTGTTAAGATAAACATTTTTGCTACAGTAGTGTATTACAAAATATTGATCGTTAAAGAGTTATAGATTAAAGACTTTCGGCCCCTTTCCGTACATAGTTTGAGGGGCCAGCCCCTTTTTCTTGATATCAACTTAAAGCTCTCAAGATTTTAAACACGTTTTGTTCAACAATTATTCAGAAATTCTTTTTCCTTTCCAAGATATTTGCAAAAAAAAATATTTAGGGACTGGCCCTTCAACTGCTTGAGGGGGGCGTTTAGCAAAAATTGAAAGGTTGGAAATTGTTAAGAACATTATTTTAAACATCTTTTATTCAATATTGCTTATCAAAATATTTCCCACTTTCGAGATATAAAGCATAAAAAATTTAGCATTCTGGTCCCTTATGGCCCCTAATTGCGAAACAAATGAAGTAAATATCATAATATATAGATGTGGATTGTTAAGATAAACATTTTTGCTTCAGTAATGTATTACAAAATATTGATCGTTAAAGAGTTATAGATTAAAGATTTTTGGCCCCTTTCGGTCCCTAGATTCAGGGGCTAGTCCCTTTTTCTTGATATCACCTTAAAGCTCTCAAGATTTTAAACACGTTTTGTTCAACAACTATTCAGAAATTCTTTTTCGTTTCCGAGATATTTGCAAAAGAAATATTTAGGGGCCGGCCCTTTAACTCCTTAATGGGGACGTTTAGCAAAAATTGAAAGGCTGCATATTGTTCAGAACATTATTGTGAACATCTTTTATTCAATATTGCTTATCAAAATATTTCCCACTTTCGAGATATAAAGCGTCAAAGATATAGCATTCTGGACCCCTAATGTCCCCTTATAACGTAACATATGATGCCAACAACATGTTATATAGTAAAGGAGAGTCTGAAGATAATCTATTTTGCCTTAGTAATGTATTACAAAATATTGATTGTTTAAGAGTTATTGATGAAAGACTTTCTGCTCCTATCGGCCCTTATTTTGAGGAGCCAGCCCCTTTTTCTTGATATCACCTTAAAGCTCGTATGATTTTGAACACTTTTTGTTCAACAACTATTCAGAAATTCTTTTTCGTTTCCGAGATATATGCAAAAGAAATATTTAGGGGCCGGCCCTTTAACTCCTTAATGGAGACGTTTAGCAAAAGTTGAAAGGTTGCATATTGTTCAGAACATTATTGTGAACATCTTTTATTCAATATTGCTTAGCAAAATATTTCCCACTTTCGAGATATAAAGCGTCAAAGATTTAGTATTTCGGCCCCTCATGACCCCTAATTATGTAACATATGATGTGAATAACATAATATATAGTTGTAGTTTGCTCAGATAAACATTTTTGCTGCAGTAATATTTTACAAAATATTGATCGTTAAAGAGTAATTGATAAAAGACTTTCGGCCCCTATCGGCCCCTATTTTGAGGGGCCAGCCCCTTTTTCTTGAAATCACATTAAAGCTCGTATGATTTTGAACACATTTTGTTCAACAACTATTCAGAAATTCTTTTTCGTTTCCGAGATATATCCAAAAGAAATATTTAGGGGCCGGCCCTTCAACTCCTTAATGGGGATGTTTAGCAAATTTTGAAAGGTTGCATATTGTTTAGCACATTATTTTGAACATCTTTTGTTCAATATTGCTTATCAAAATATTTCCCACTTTCGAGATATAAAGCGTCAAAGATTTATCATTCTGGCCCCTTATGGCCCCTAATTTTGTAATATATGAGATTTTTTATCATAATATATAGTTGTAGATTGTTCAGATAAACATTTTTGCTTTAGTAATGTATAACAAAATATTGATCCTTAAAGAGTTATAGATTAAAGATTTTTGGCCCCTCTTGGCCCCTAATGTGATGAGTCAGCCCTTTTTCTTTGATATCATATAAAAGATCTAGTAATTCTACACAATTTCTGTTCAATATGTTTTAAGAAAATATTCATAGTTTTGAAGATATGATAAAAAATGTCTCGAAAATTCACTCCTGATTCATGTCCTAAATTTCAACCCCTACCGAGCTTCCATACTAGGCACTTCCAGAAAATTTGAAAACTGAGGTGCACAACTAGAACATGTCCTCTATTATCACTGAAAATTTCAGCACTCTAGCTTTTGTCGTTTTTGAGTTTTTGTGTAGACAAAATGGTCACTTAAAATTCGATTAAAGGGCGATAACTTCCGACCAGAAGTAAATTTCCAAAAAATAAAAAAGATGAATAAGGTTTAGATCATGATACATCATCTCTGAAAATTTCAAGTGAATCCATCCAACCATCTCTGAGAAATCGTCTGCACAAAATTTGGACAGAAAAAAATAATAACTAGATGAGATCTCGTTGCGAGCAACGAGTAGGTCTTCCGTCCGATTTTTCGATAAGATGAGATATGATTTTGACTATGATCTTTGTTAAAAGATAATAATATAAAGACTTCCCTAATTAGATTTCATTCTTTTGATTTATATAACATTATTAAAAAAGCTATAGATGACATGCTTTTGGCCCCTCTCAGCCCCTAGTTTGAGGGGTCAGCCCCTTTTTCTTGAAATCAATTGAAAGGTCTTGTGATTTTGAAAACGTTTTTTTTTCAAGAAATATTCAGAAATTTCTTTTCGTTGTGGAGATATGCTGAATGGAAATATTTAGGGGCCACCCCTCCAAGTCCTTAATGGGGCCGTTTGACAAAAATTGAAAGGGTGCATATTGTTTAGAACATTATTCTGACCATCTTTTGTTCAGTATTGCTTATCAAAATATTCTCCCTTTTCGAGATATAAAGCGTCAAAGATTTAGCATTCTGGCCCCTTGTGATCCCTTATTACGTAACATATGATCAGAATCTTATCATATATTGTTATAAATCGTTAAAATAAGCATATTTGCTTCAGAAATGTATTACAAATTATTGATCGTTAAAGAGTTAACGATGAAAGACTTTTGGCCCCTCTGAGCCCCTTATTTGAGGGGTCAGCCCCTTATTCTTGATATCAAATGAAAGGTCTTGTGATTTTAAAGACTTTTTGTTCAACAACTATTCAGAGATTTCTTTTCGTTGTGGAAATATGTTGAATGGAAATATTTAGGGCCACCCTTCCAAGTCCTTAATGGGGCCGTTTGACAAAACTTAAAAGAGTACATATTGTTTAGAACATTATTCTGACCATCTTTTGTTCACTATTGCTTATCAAAATATTCTCCCTTTTCAAGATATAAAGCGTCAAAGATTTAGCATTCTGGCCCCTTGTGATCCCTTATTACGTAACATATGATTAGAATCTTATTATATATTGTTGTAAATCGTTCAGATAGGCATCTTTGCTTCAGTAATGTATTACAAATTATTGATCGTTAAAGAGTTAACGATGAAAGACTTTTGGCCCCTCTGAGCCCCTAATTTGAGGGGTCAGCCCCTTATTCTCGATATCAAATGAAAGGTCTTGTGATTTTGAAGACTTTTTGTTCAACAATTATTCAGAGATTTCTTTTCGTTGTGGAGATATGCTGAATGGAAATATTTAGGGGCCACCCTTCCAAGTCCTTAATGGGGCCATTTGAAAAAAATTGAAAGAGTGCATATTGTTTAGAACATTATTCTGACCATCTTTTGTTCAGTATTGCTTATCAAAATATTCTCCCTTTTCGAGATATAAAGCGTCAAAGATTTAGCATTCTGGCCCCTTGTGATCCCTTATTTCGTAACATATGATCAGAATCTTATCATATATTGATGTAAATCGTTAAGATAAGCATCTTTGCTTCAGTAATGTATTACAAATTATTGATCGTTAAAGAGTTAACGATGAAAGACTTTTGGCCCCTCTGAGCCCCTAATTTGAGGGGTTAGCCCCTTTTTCTTGATATCAAATGAAAGGTCGTATCATTCTGGACAACCTTTCTTCTATATGTTTTAACAAATTCTTAACATGTATGAAGATATGAAAGAAAAGGTGTAAAATTTTGTGAGATGTTTCTGAGACATTTTTTGAGTCCTACCGAGCGTCGGCGCCTTTTGCGCTAGACAGATTTGGACACCTGCCTGCAAATCTACAAACCTTCTCCTACCTTCACTGAAAATCTTGACTCAATATCTTAAGTCGTTTCGGAGGAGTTTCCAGGACAAGCCGACCCTCTGAAAATCAGAAAATCCTAAATATCTCGAGATGGAAAGTGACGTCATCAACGAAAAAAATTTCCAATAAGGTTCAGATCAATACCTATCAGATCTGAAAGTTTCATGAAAATCGGCCAAGACGTTACCGAGAACTTGCGTGCACAAAATCGGTAAGAATAATAATAATAACTAGAGCAATGCTCGTTGCAAAGCAACGAGTAGGTCTTCCGTCCGATTTTCAGAACTGTTTGTAAAATGGGTAAATGATAAATATACCTTTCATCAAAAAGAATGCCTCCAGATCAAAAATGATGTCGATCTGTATTTAGTATTTTTATTATTGATATCTATTCTGATTTTTTGGTGAAATAAAGCAAGTTTAGACTACTTCCGGTTTGACAGGAAGAGACCCCAATCGACAGAAAATTGTGTCAGAAGTCTTGGGTGAAGTATATCATTTGATTTTATGTTAATATCTGCAGAAATACGTCATTTATGGTTACTTCTGGTTTAACTGGACGTTGACAAAAGTGACGATTCTCGACAGGAAATACGGTCGGACGTCCTCTTTGACATGTATAATTCAATTCAATGCCAATATCTGTGAAAATAGGCAATTTTTGACTACTTCCTGTTTGGCCGGAAGTGACGTCATTTGACGAATTTTGATGATCTCACTAGGTGCTACTTGTCATTGTGAACAACTTTGCTTCTTTGATGTATTACAAATTCTCAATACTTTTTGAGATATCAGGAATAAACTTTTGGCCCCTCTAGATCCCTTATTTTAGGGGTCAGCCCCTTTTCCAAGATATCATTTGAAAGATCTTTTAATTCTGCACTACTTTTGTTCCATATGTTATTGTAGAAAATGCGTTAGAAATTTTGAAACTCTCGATATGCCAATTTTCAAGCCATAGCGAGCGTCGGCGCTTTGTACTTCCGGTGGTTATAAGATACAAAATTCACTTCTTCATAGGTTGCTCTATCATCACTGAAAATTTCGTACTTCTATCATCATTGGTTTTTGAGAAAACGCTCGGACAAAGTGACCCTCATAAAATCACTAAATTGCGGAAATCTCCGAACCGGAAGTGACGTCATCAAAATTTAAAAAAATAGACGAGCTTGTTGCAAAGCAACAAATAAGTCTTCCGTCTAAATTTCAAGGAGATGGGATCGCGATCGAGAGACATCTACGGTCATATGAGCAAGAATGAGCCATTTATCATTACTTCCGGTTTGACCGGAAGTGACGTCATTTTGACGACTTTTAATGATCTCCTTAGCTGCTTCTTGTCATTTTGAACAACTTTGCTTCTATGATGCTTTACAAATTCTCAATACTTTTTGAGATATCTGGAAAACACTTTTGGCCCCTCTAGCTCCCTAATTTTAGGGACCAGCCCCTTATTGTTGATATCCTTTGAAAGATCGTAACATTCTGCACAACTTTTGTTCTATATGTTTTAACAAAATATTTACAGGTAAAAAGATATTGTAGAAAAGGTGTAAGAAATTTTGAAGTTTTTAATAATAATATTTTCGAGCAATAGCGAGCGTCGGCACTTCGTACTTCCGGTGGTTATGATATACACAATTCAATTCTCCATAGTTTGCTCTATCATCACTGAAAATCTCATATGTCTGTGTTCAGTGGTTTTTGAGAACATTGCCGGACAAAGTGACCCTCTAAAAATCGCAAAATCGCAGAAATCTCCGAACCGGAAGTGACGTCATCAAAATAAAAAAATATATGTCTAGATTTTTTGATGTTCTATCAGACCTGAAAGTTTCATGAAAATCCATCGAGTCGTTTCCGAGAACTCGCGTGCATAAAATCGGTAAGAAAAAAAATAATAATAATAAAAATAGTGGAAAAGAAACCTAAGAATAACAAGAAGGTCTTCCGCTGAAGACGGAAGACCTTAATAATAATAGGGAAAAAGAAACCGAACGAAAACAATAAGGTCTTCCGTTGGAGACGGAAGACCTTAATAATAAAAGTGAAAAAGAAACAATAGAATAATAGAAGGGTCTTCCGTTGGAGACGGAAGACCCTAATGAATCCCACTATTAGGCGTGCCTAAACAAAGAGTGTGTTAAAATTTCAGGCATCTGCAATGAGTAGTTGCTGAGAAAACTACAACCAAAATTTGTTATGTATGGTACGGACAGACGCACGGATAAATAGGAAATTTACATCAGATTGGTACAAAAATTAAGCCCACCATATGGCATGCCTAAACAAATAGTGTGTTAAAATTTCAAGCTTCTGCGATGAGTAGTTGCTGAGAAAACTGCGACCAAAGTTTGTTATGTATGGTACGGACAGACGCACGGATAAACAGGAAGTTTACATCAGATTGGTACAAAAATGAATCCCACCATATGGCATGCCTAAACAAAGAGTGTGTTAAAATTTCAAGCATCTGCGATGAGTAGTTGCTGAGAAAACTACAACCAAAATTTGTTATGTATGGTACGGATAGACGCACGGATAAACAGGTAGTTGACATTGAATTCATACAAAAATGACTCCCACCATATGGCATGCCTAAACAAAGATTGTGCTAAAATTTCAAGCATCTGCAATGAGAGGTTGCTGAGAAAACTGCGACCAAAATTTGCTACGGACAGACAGACAGCTAGACAGACGGACAGACAGACAGACACACAAGTGTTAAACAGTATACCCCCCTCTCCTTCGGAGCGGGGGTATAAAAATGTATGTAGTATATTTAGTCATTTTGTTTAACAAACAGCAAAATACTACTTTAATTTTTGTCTCCTTTCTTTGTAGAAGTTTTACCTGGATCTATAGGGGATGTCTTGGCAACATACACAAAGCCTCCCAGTGTTGGTACAGCACAGATCGGTACAGATTTAGACAAATCCCAAAATATCATCTATGGTGTAAATATAAATTAATACATCTTTGAGATATTTTCCATAAATGTTCACAACAAAACTTACTCAGTTAATCACTGGATACAACATTAATGAACCAATGCCAAAGATCACATGGTGTTTTGTAATTTCAATGTTCATCTATTTTACCTGTCTGTCCATGGACACAGTACACATCATAGAATTGCTAGATCCACCCACACACATACAGAACACTGGTCGTGTGTGATAGAGAACCTTCCCTGAGCTGAGCGACTCTGGCTTTTGAGAGCTATTGGAGTCCAGACTCCATCTCAAAATCTCACCACTGAAAAGAAATAAAATCAGGATCAAGCACTGTATACTCAAAGAAAAACTGCAATTCAAAGACCCATCAATTCCCTAGTGAGGTAAATTTAAAGGTTTTTATTGGAAAAATATTCTGGCTGGTCTTGTCAGATTTAGGAACTTGGATATGTATACGTAAAGTCAACATGCACTCATACACAATGCTTAAGATGATTATATGTTTCATTATGAGGTGAAAAGACCTGAAATATAAGTTTGTTTTTTATTTCCCACATCCTTGTAGTTACCCAAATGAGCTGGCGTAAATCTGATTGGCATTGTGTTGATTCCACAACAGAGTCATCCACATTTTGGCTTTATCTTCCCTGCCTGCTGGAGCTGACTTAGGAGGCTTGAAAACCAAGATTTGTCGTCCTCTGGCTGAGCTCCATACCCTGACAGTTTTGTCTCTACTGCTGGACACTAACAGATGACCACTGCTTCCAAAATCTGTGCTGCCATTTGTGTCACCTAAAGCATGTCAATGTACACATCTTAGCACAAGTTTGGGGACAAAATGTTCCATTATTTACATAGTATCTGCTTGAAAACCTTTTACAGTAAAACTCGGTTATAGCGAAGTCCTGGGGACCTGTGAATTTACTTCGTTATATCCGTAATTCGTTATATCCGTATAACAAATTTGTTAAAGTATATATAAGTATGACAACCAAATATGTTCTAGGAGGTATTAAATACAAAATTTACTTGGGTCTTGGGGTACTAAATATTTCTAAGGAATGGAATTTCAAATCTAAATACTTATTACAAAAAATATGCCAGTTTGATATTTTGAAGTTTAAGATATTGAAAATTCATTATAGAAGATGAAATTTTCATTATTTTTAACCTCCGTGGGACAAAAAAATCAGTTTGCTCTATCCCTAAATTCGTTGTATAAGAGTTCGTTATAACCACAATATTTTCCTAGGATTTGTTAAGAATTTCGCTGGGGATTCAAAAAAACTTCGCTATATCCGTGAATTTGCTATATTCGTGTTCGTACTAAATGAGTTTTACTGTACCATGTAATGGAATAAAATTATCTTAAACAATCTTTTGATCTACATAAACAGGCTGTCTCAATAAAACTTTTATTAGCAATCTATGGTATCTTTAAAGATAACCTTTAATGATGAAGTCAAAGACTTTTTTTTCTAAATAACTCTATTACCATTGAGAGATGGAAAATCTGGATTATCATAACTCTATTACCATTGAGAGATGGAAAATCTGGATATCATAACTCTATTACCATTGAGAAATGAAACATCTGGATTATCATAACTCTATTACCATTGAGAGATGGAACATATGGATTATCATAATTCTATTACCATTGAGAGATGGAACATCTGGATTATCATAACTCTATTACCATTGCGAGATGGAACATATGGATTATCATAATTCTATTACCATTGAGAGATGGGACATCTGGATTATCATAACTCTATTACCATTGAGAGATGAAATATCTGGATTATCCAGATCTTTGTAGTCCTTAAAGTTTTCTCCTGGAATTGGACACCATGCCAAACACAGCACTTCATCGTCATGTCCTCGTAGTCTTTGTAATACCTGGCCTTCCTTCCACTCCCTCATGTCTACAATCAAAACTACTCCTGTCCTGTATCTGTAATCATAAAAATAAATAATATGTTTGACGGTGTGAATGCTGGGAAAGTGCAGTTGTATTCATTGCTGGATCAATGAAGAACTTTTATATTTATGTTTAACTTAGATCTGACTCTTCAAACCACATGAAGCATTTAGGAGGTTATAGGTCTGACAATCTCAATCTAGACTGAGACATCATTCATATGTTTGTTGCCAGGATTCATACAGACCATGAAAAGTGCTTGAATTTTGACCCAGTTCTTGAAAATGCTTAACAGCTAAAAGTCATGGAAAAGTGCATGTTTAGTGCTTGAATTTTTTTCCTATTGTGCTTGAATTCTGATTTTGAGATGCTAAATAAGCAAAGATTTAAAAAATGCTAGAGAAGATTTACCTTTTTATAGCATCACTAATCAGAAAATGTTGAAAAATATAAATGAAAGATAAATGAAGTAAAGAAATTTTAAAAATCCCAATCAATATATTGTGTCAACCTCTTATATGCATGGTTGTTTTGTTCAAAAGTGCTCAAAAATGACCTTATAACTGTTGGAAAAGTGCTTTTAAAAATAATGATTCCTGGGCTGTACACATCTTGGTTGCAATTCCACAACAGAGACTAAAAAGTGCATTTTTTTTAACAGTGAGCATTTAATCTACTAGCTTTCTGCAATTCCATAAAAGCTAGCAGACTTTCTAATTTATTTTTGACTTTTTGTTTGATTATCATGCAAAGTAGTTTGGGCAGCCATATGCAATTTTGAAGGATTTGTTGATAACAAGTTTACTGCAAATAAAAATTCATTTGAATTAATGTGCATGGTCCAAATTTTCTCCTCACCCAAACAATGCCTTAAGAGATCACAGTGCGAGCTTTGCTTCACAACCACTTGCTGACTCACTATCAAATTGTAGTTTATCAGGATAAAAAACTTGTACTTAAGATTTCCTTCATTTACATACTGATATGGTTTATGAAAAAATCCTCAAAAAATTCTAATTCTTAGAACTCTAGTCATTCCTGGTGAATTGTCTACCTGAAATGTTGCACATAGACTTAATCATAAAATAGTATCTTAAAGGTTACCAGGTATTTTACATATTCTAGAATATTTGAAATGTTTGAAGAATACCGGTATTAATATTCTGCATTATACACTCACATAACTTGATAGTAATTTTTAAAAGAATGTAAACAATTACGATATCGATAGTTTAAACATAAAAAAAATCATGAAAGATTTTGTACAAAATCTTACCAAATCTTAATATCACTTTATACTTGAGTATGTACGTCAAACTTTTAATTAGAATTACCTTAAATTACTGCCCACCAAAATAACAAATTGAAATACATGCCATTATTGAATGCTTAGAAAACTCACCCAACAGCCACTTGTGTTTCATTAAGGTTTGAGCACACAAGACAAACAATGGCTGCAGCTTCTGGACAGTAACATATTGTTCTGTTTTCCTGATACTGCCAACAAACAATCTGACCACGGTCATCTCCACTGACCACTACAGGGGAATTACCAGAGGACCAGCAAATACAGCCTATTTTACTCTGCAATGCAAGTTTTAAATAAATACTCAAAGTCTAATTTATTTCAATTATGAATGAATTCATTAAAACTTACATTTCATGTCAATCTAGACATTGTCTTGCATTACTAAAGTATGCAAAAAATTCTGAATATAACATTTTTCTCTAAAAAAAAACTTATAAAAATATACTGTAACATTCACAAATATGTTGCTGAAAAACCTTTAACGACACTACGAAGCATGAAGTGATAAAAATGTTGGGATCCCCATCTAGATTGTTTAAACTGCCATAATGACAGAAACGAGAGAACATACAATGAATTATATTTCTGCTAGAGAAAGTGTCATTATGTTGAATGAACAGTGGGATAACATTTTTAATAAACATTTACAGAAACTGTTTTTATGATACATTATGGTTAAAAAATAGAAAATCAAGAACTTGGATGAATGAGATGACCAATCAGAGATGCTGTTTTCAAGTTTAATTTTCATTTAAAAAACAAACAAACAAACACAAAAAAAACAAGTCGAAATTGCATGCCTCAGATAATTTTTTAAATTGAATTTATAATCCTGCCATCAGTGATCAGATCTTATCTCTATACTACTACAATCCTTATATGTCCAAAAATTTACTGCTTCAACTTAAAGGCAGAGATTTTTTACCGGGTAGTAAATTCAAGGTCAGGGAGGGGCTAATTTTGTACAGGTGTGAATGCCTTGAGGGCTAACAGTCTACCTGTGGTCGTTTGTCTCCTAATCCCTATACACAGGAAGTGATTTAATACACAGTAGAGTACCCAAGAAGTCAAACTTTACCTGTGTTGGGATTTTGAGATATTAAATTAGAAATTAAAAGTTGTAAATAAAGTTTGATCTCAATGATTTTTAGTATTAAATTTGTAATTGTATGTGTGTCAAAGCAACCCAACCCATTAAAAAATTAATATTCAAAGTATTTGTTGAGCTTTGAAAAAAAAAGTTATACCAAATTTTGATATATATTATTATTATCATACAGAATATCATAATTATTTCAAATACTAAAGGTGTGTATATATATGTTATCAAGCTAAAAATTCCATAGTAATACAGCTTCTCTATTGTTTATACCATGTGTGGTAAATATCAAAGGATCAAAAGTTAATTCGAAGGTCACCACGAGTGCCAAAAACGGTGTATAGGGTATACACAGGGACTAGTAAGTAAATGTCACTCAAGTTCTAGCACCCAATGATGTACCTTAATGCACTTGATTGACAGGGGTTCACAGACCAGGTATTTTTGAAGGCGGTGCTTAAAATTTCTGCCTTTAAGAATGAATTCCTTGTTTACTACAGATGTCTCTGATTATTGTGTGTTTGTTAAAGTTTTAAACAATTAAGTTCTTGAGTTATGGTCATTGCTTTTGGAAATACTGTTTGATAAAAATAGCATGATATATATACATAGATTTTGAAAACCTGTATATAATTAAAACTCATTTTCAAACAAACATAATAAGAAGATACTTAGTATTTTTATTATTTGAGAAGATGAAATTTTGTATTGCTGAAAGTCTTTTTTTATATTTTTTAAAACAATCTTTTTTGTGTGTGTCTAATATAATACAACTCATATTTTTCTCAAATTTCAGAAAAGGAACCATGATACCTTATATTTAAAGAAAGATTTGAGAAATGATTTCATTACATTTAATACCATATATAATATATATTATATATGTAACAATTTACATAAATTGTTGAAAGAAGCTTGAAATTCAAATTCCATGTGATCTGAGATCTCTCCAAACAGTTCCAAAAATATATACAATCAATTTTGGCTCAGATACTTTGCACCCCCTGGTCCCTCCTTGGGCTTTGCCTTTGACTCAAAAGGGGTCCAATGCAGTCCCCTTGACCCCGGTGTGTTAAAAATGGACTATAACATTTTACTTTAAGTAGAAAACATTTTTCTTTCAATTATGAAAGACTATGTCAGGCCTGTCTATGAATTAAAAATTCAACAAATAAATCTAATACTCGGATTTTTAGAGCATGAATAAAAAAGAATTTTGTTTATATGTATGAAAACAACTAACGCTATGAATATTATGTTCATCTATTGCATCTCTAGGGTTGTCTATTTTCCACACTTTCACTTTCCCATCTTCAGATGCACTGCAACAAATGTTGTTCTCATTCAAAGCTACAGATGAAATTCGTTCTTTATGAAGACAGCACTGCGCTACGTATGTCGGAGGAACACTGGAGGCATCCAACACAAAAACATCGTGTCTTGTTCCGAATATCACAATGCCTTTTTTGTTATAATCGATAATTTTGCTACAGTACCATTGTGGCGACGGTGGTAGAATAAGATCACACATGGCTTTTATGTAAAATGATAACAATAAATTAACGTTCCTTCACAGAAAGCAAGAAAATACTGGAAATAACAAGTGGCAGTGCGTCAAGTGCACGTTTTCCAGGTATTTAAACTGGAAATAGCATATTGACACTAAATGAAAAACCAAAGCGCTTGAAACATTTTTATCCGGAAATTTTTTTCTAAATTAAAAACTGAAGCGCTTGAAACATTTTTATCCGGAAAGACAGAGGTTCGATTTTTTTTCAAGCCAGACCGTAAATAAAATTGTATCCATTTATAGAATTAGACATGTTGCACTTAAATATTCATACTTACCCAATCTGTCACTCACAGCATTCCTTTCACAACACAATGTTCAATTCAATTGTGAACTAAAGTCTTCACATTAACGATAATAACGATACTGTGATACAGTAGATACGACTTTGTTTTTCTGGCACTTATATTTTGCCGTCTTTCTTGATATACAGTACAGTTGAGTTTGTCAAAACTTCACTATACTCTTATTTTTCATACATCTTTCACTTTATGACACAAAAATCTTAAAACACATTTAGTCCAGTCAATCTAGCCCTAAAACACCCTAACCTTAAACAAATTGCAACAGAAATTATTCCAGTAGAATTTTGTTATTTATAATGTGCCTTTTGATATATCAAAACTCTAGAAGAATATATTTGTCCAAACATCATTTTTTTTCAGTTTTCAAAAAAACCGATTTTTGTTCAAAAATGCCAATAAATCACTGTTTTAAAAGACATTCTATATACGCATAATAGAAGTTTTGCCATCTATATGATCTTGAATTTTCTTGGTAGATCATGCAGAAATGCGTCTGCAAACTGAAACTGGTAATTATTTCATTAATTGCTATGGATTCCTGTTCCCATGGCAACGGACATAATTGAAAATAAAATTTTTCCAATTCCTCAGTATGGCTTTGTGCAGGGACAAAGAATGTGTAGCCATAGTAGGAATGACAAGTTTTATTAGTTAAGATAATTTTTAAAAAAATTATATATAGTGGACAATTAAGCACACACATGACACATCTCAGGAATTTTTATCGGGGGTGGGGGGGGGGGGTTCATATCAAATATCACAGATGTCAAGTCTCGGCATTTTTCTGACAAGCAAATATAAATAGATGAATAAACAAATAAGAAAAAAGAAAGAAAAATAAATAAATAAAATTGATTACCTCAAACTTGAAAACCTTTTTCAGGGGAGGGGGGGGGGTCTTTTTTTATAATGCACATGACTTCTTGCCTTTTAAATAAGTGTCCTGGGGAATGGGTTCATAATGCACATGACTTGTTGCCATTTTAATAAGTGTCCTGGGGAAATGGGTTCATGGACATATCTTTATTACTTTTACATAGAACATTTTAACTCTTGAAAATCTCAGGGGGAGGGGGGTCAGCCCCCCTTCCCGACATACCTCCCTTTATAACAATGCATGTATAGGACATTCATCTGAAATACGTCATACCTATGGATACGTGACACTTGAACTAAATCTTAAAAGTCAGATTTTTCCCCATTGGTTTTATTTGAAAGGTTAAAGAAATCAAAGAAAAATCGTAAAAATCCACTGAAGCTGCCACAGAATACCTAAAAAATAAATGAATGATAATCTTGAAACTAGAACTGGTTCTTCACCTAAATGTCAACCTCAATAGTATTCAAATTGCTACTTTTTGTATTCAATATAATGTTCATTGCTAGTTTTTATATCTCCTTTGGATTTATTTTGTAATTTGTGTGTGTGTTTGGGGGGGGGGGGGGGATATCATATTATTAATTAAGCTCTCGGCACTTTGAAGTAAACGTTGCAGATCTTTAGGATGAGATGATAAAGAACCCTCACTGCCCAATGGCCCTAAGTGCTGAGTAAAGGTCTAAATTTCAAGCTCTTTGACGGTATATGGTGACGTTTCTCTATAAGTGAAAAGTTCTCGAATGGGGCGTAAAACAAATTACAATCAACCAATCTTCACTAGCGCAGCTTTTAGAGGCTTAGAGTCATTTTTATGACAATTAAATTACCTATCTGATCATTTTCTGTGCTCCTTTAAGTGATAGATGTCACTTATCGTGATAGGAAAATAGTATTTTTAAAAAAACTTTTCTTAAATATGCAGGTGAATTTGGGATGCTACTTGGAAAATAAGTTGATAATGTTGTGTAGTTTTTAAAAAGCTGAAATGCACAAATCTATTACATAATAGGATGTGTTTAAAAAAACAAAAATTCCACAATGCGGCTTATTTCAAAGACTTCCTGTAATATTAAATCCCTCATGTGACCCTACTTGGATCCGGGGTTATGATAAGAACAAACTAGAAGCGAAATGTGAATCAAAGTGACACAAATATAATGTTTAAGAAATATGTTTACAAATTACAATAAAATATACTGAGGTACATAATAAGCATCATTATAGTGAATATGCACACACCCAAAAAAATTCAAGAATAAGGCCATCTTTAAAATATTGTTTGTTTATCTTCTCCTGAATCAGGGTAAAATTATTATTAAGTCGGTAGGTAGGTGGGAAAATCTTTTTTTCTAGGCAATTTCAGCATATTTGTTGACAGCATAAGAGGAATAAAATAAATATGATGTCCTGGAATGTAAAAAAAAAAGTTTTGAGTCGGGAAATTTTTAGTCAGTCGGTTGGGAGAGGGCAACTAAACAATATTTTAAAGATGGTCCTAATCTATTTTTTTTTTAAATAGCAAAGTAGATCTCACTAATCTAATCAACATTCTAAAGAAAAAAAATCTTTAAACAGGGTCATACACCAAAATATAACTTTTAGATAATAAAATATTTTTATGTTGCAATAATACCACTAACGACTTTCCATAGATTATTTCCTCTATATATATATATAATGTTTCTAATATCTAATAAAAGAGAAGTAAACACTAATTTATATATGTGCATGAGTTATTATTAATTGGAAGATTGAATTTTTACAGAAATACATGATTAATATATAATTTCCTGTAATTCATAGACCCATATTTTGATAGAAAGGTTCCTACATGCTTAAAAATTGTGATACAGATAATATACTAAGATTTCAACATTATATCGTTAAGTTTAGACATATATAAGATTCTCAGATCTTATATCTTCAGTGCATTGGTGAAATTTAAACCTCAGCGGGTATACAAAATGAATTATAAATTTTATTATGCTTGTTTAAGAAGAAAAGTGGTTTGTTTCAGTGGTTAAAATTGTCTCCCTTGGTGCATATGGTAGCACGTTTCTGCTATATATGTTTTATCACAACAGTAAATATTTATTTCTGAAAAAGACATCCTTCGCCTTTATATATTTTTCTAGAGTTTTTATATGTTGATTATAATACAATTTACTAATTATAAATAAAGAAAAAAATTCTGTTGCAATTTGTTTAAGGTTTATGACAATTTGACTGGACTAATTATTTTGACGCGCTATCTAATTTTAATTAATAGCTGTATATTTTCAAGAATTAAAGTCTGTTACATGCAGACTTCTATGGCAACACGCTGGTATAAATATTTTTTTAAAAAGTGTGGGTGTTGTTTATCCAATGCCTACTGCATGTATTAAAATAAATGAATGCATGGCCAACACTGAATTACCAAACAATTTTAAATGAAGCTGTAACAGGAGAGGACAAAAATATGACAGGGATTCAAACCCAGCCCCCCCCCCCCCCCCATCTCCAGTCAGGTGCTCTACCAACTGAGCATCTGGCCATCGAACCCGTCTGTCACATTCCTCCCTCCTTAGAGGTCTTTGTCCCCCTGAAGACACCAACCCAGACTCTTCCCTGGCAGGTCTTTCACCTGTTACTCCCAGGGCATGGCACAGCACCAAATGTAACAGGAAAGCACCTGACTGGAGATTCAGGGGGCCACTGGCTCAAATCCTGGTCTGGTCTGTCACATTTTTCTCCTCTCCCATTACAAAGTACAAATAAGTACAAATAAGTCCTCTATATCTCTCCCTCATTTTCCACATTCATACACCTTCTAATTACTATAAACCCCTTTTTGCTTAGTGCAACCATCTATACTCATACAATTGTTGTTCAATGTATATCCTGTACATGGTCACCAGATATCTCTAAAACATAAATTGTTCAGCTCCCAAAACTGCACTTTTTGCATGGATGGAACTGTAGCCCTCCCTATTTCCTGTTTTCAAACCTGCAGCAACCATTATTGATGCTCAACTTCATAACCCAGACAAAGGAGATGGGCGAACATAGCGTGCAGAAAGCCTATAGCTTCAGAAATGTGAAATTCATGTTCAGTTTGTGAATTTAATATTTAGAGTAAAGTTCTCATTATTGAAATTTATGTAATTGTGATAAACAAAACTTTTCTGAGGAAAATTTTCTCGGTAAAATTTATTCTTTTATGAAAAAAATTAATGTGGTATTCGTGGGGTTCGAACCCTAGCAATAAAAATCCTGAGAATCATTTTCTTTCGAGACTAGCACGCTAACCACTAGACTACACAAGTCCTGACGAACAGTGGCATTTAAATCATGTTTGTGATATGACCCTTGACTTAATGGACTTCAAGTATTTCTCGAAAAGATGCGAATGTTATGTCATAAAAGTATATTTTTAAGGTGTAGTGGGTGATTGCTCCATATTTTTGTTAACCAAAAAATGTATACTTTTATGCAAACTTTGAGGATTAACTTTCAAAAAGGTGGAGCGAAGACCCACTCATATCGAAAAATAGTGTTATAGTATGCGAAAATGACTCTTTTTGCCCGCTTTAGTGTGTGTCTAATATTTCACAGGCAAATAATTTCAAACTTTGAGGGATTTTTGCAAATTGTAGAGATTTTACATATAGTATATTTTAATGTTAGACGAAATATCAAGGAAAATTTTGATATAATAGAAATTTAATTTTTCATCTTCATGTTTGTCACACTATAGGCTTATCGCTCGTCATGTTCACCCATCTCCTTAAGATGATCTTTCCATATACTGTATATATATATATATATTTTTTTTTTGAGATAAACTAATCAATTCAAATCATAACAAACGGGTTATTGCTTTTTTTAAAATTGCTTTACTTTTTATGATTGTTAACAGACACACATTCCTCAAGTGAGCTTCTCAAAGTGACCCCACTCCAGAGGTTACCATGAGGAAAGACAGAGTGTTACATTGTACAGTCTCTCAGATTTTGGTACAAAAACGGTATTACTTATACCAGTATTAGAAGACTACTCTCTATACTGAAAGTTTCTTTTTTTCATTAATAATAAAACAAAATCTGACACAGGAAGAAAAACAGCAGTAAAATCTCAGAATTAAAAACAACTTGATTTTGTTTCTTACAAAATCCTTCTAACTACTGACTTTGGTGAGAAAAAAAATTACACTTACATAACTGACATAAAAAATTCTCTCCTTTCTTATGTTAACAAAATATCAAGATAATAAAAATTACTAAATCAAAAACAACAATTTATAAAAACATTTGTACCTAAAAAAAAAATTACCCTTTACTGTTTCTTATAAGAGAACCTGTCTCTTGGAAAACTTAATTTTAGCTTTGTTTATTTTTCTGTAAAAAATGAACTTTGGGTCAATTATTTTCTTGTTTTCCTCCAGATGTAAAGCTGGTTATACATCCTGATAGAGTTTATAAATTAGATTTGTACTTGGTATACTTACATAGTATAAGCAGTAGCAGACCAGTGGCATTTATCCTGCAATACTCTGTTTTGATATGCCGTATAAAAATGGCACCAGAGTCTACAAGGATAAATCCACATTATCAACATGATTAATACCCTGTTTAAAATTTGTCAAGTCCAGTAATATAATACCCATGAAACACAATCGTGTTCTGGGCACATAAGTCAAATCCAGTATTTAGAGTCATATCCATTGAGCAGTGATGCCATACTGCATCACATCAAGTCACAATCAGGTAGGAGTTTTTCTGTTAATTCATAAATCACAATCCATTTATCAAGTCCGTATTTCATAAATCCGAGTCAGGAATCCATTGCTGAGCAACCTTCTCACTTTTAAGATTTAAGAGCAAACCATTCAAATTTTCAAAACTCAAAACTTGGGGAAAGAAAAAAAATGAAAAGGGATAAAGTTTCACAAAACTTATAAATAAGGAAAACAAACTATGAAAATCCCTTGAAGTTTTCAAAATCATTATAACAATATTTGGATTTGATATCTAATGTTCGTGTTCTTGTACATGCATATCAATCCTTAATATGAAGTTTTCATTCACAGAGAAATGAGTGAAAAACAAAACAAAAACAAAACCAAAAAATCAATGAAAAATATCAAACTAGATTATCCTTCCCATATTTGTTTACCCAACACAAATACAATTTTTTAAACATCAGCTGACAATAAAATTACAAATACGTATATATACATATCTTCATAAATCTTGACATTTCCTAAACAGTTATCTACTGATTGATACTGTATTTGTGTATGTAGTTATACACCAGTGTCCACTTAACTTTTTTTTTCTTTTAAGCCAACAAAATAGCCAAAATTTATTAATTTTTGTAAAAACTATCAAAGATTCATGTTCCTATTCACAATAAAAATGTTAATTTAAGAGATAATCTTTAATGTAATAGTGAGAAGGTTGCTTTGTAAAAGTCAGCTTATTGGTTGTCGGGTCTGGGAACATTCCATCCAGTACTATTGGTGGTGGCATTGGGTCCCCAGATGTCCGACATTGTGTTGAATGGATTGAAAGCTTGGCCCGAGTTTATTTCCTGTAACATTCATACATTACAGATTAGACATATGCAGTTATTAAGAAGCATCGAAGTGCAAATTTTATTACAGATTTGGAATGAAGAATTATTGAACAGACATCCTGCCAAATACAAGTACCATATAGTGTGAATTTTTAGCGGGGTGCTAACTTTGGCTTATTTTAGTAATTTTAAAGAAGCCGCTAAAATTTTAATCACTAAATTTGCACTCTTGCGTATAAGTACTGAATACAAGAAAAATAATATTGATCAGTCCTTTGATAAACATCAGCTGACAATTATCTCTCAAGTGGTATTGGTTTTTGCTAAAATTCTTACGTAAATCGGTTTTCAAACATATATTAAATGCACACCTGTTTACCCATATTGTTGTTGTTTCTTAGTATTTTATATTAGATTTGTTATGAGATTTGACATTTGCCAATAAGATCTCACTTTCCATCAATTTTACATATATTACTAGAGAACAACTGCATTTCTGATTACCATTTATGTCTTTTTTAAACCAACACGTTTTGGCAACCCGACATCACTTAAGTGCTTGAAATCTTTCTCTTGTTTTAGTGATTAAAAAGCGTCAGACTGAGACAAATCATAACGAAAACAAACTGCTAAAATCCAAACAAATGGATTTCCGATTTTCCATATTTTCATAATACCAAAACATGAGACGTATTTTGGACTCAAACTCTGTACAAAACACGGCAAAATCGTAAGAGTAAACAGGTCTGTAAATGTACTGAAAACTCATCTAGAAGATGTATGTGCTCCTTTTTTGCAACGTCATGGAACTCTGTCTGCCAAAAAAAGTTTTGCCAAAATTATTGGCAAACTTTTGAGCAAGTGAAACACCAAATTTTACACCCACTAAAGAAACCAGCTTTATAGTATAAGATGCAAAATTTTTTTTCATAAAGAAAACATTTAACAGATGAGAACAGGAGCCCCATATCAAATGAGATCCTCCTATTTCCCTACCTGCTGAGTTCTAGGGGGGACAGTGGCGGATTCTGTGGGGGTAGTCTCAGCACTGGTAGTGCTGGGTTGTTGGGAACCCCAGCCTGACGTAAAACTCATCAGAGAGTTCCAGCTGCTGTTAGCACTGTTAGTCAGGGTGCTCCATAGACTGGTATTGTCCTGATGAGAGATAAACAAATTTAATTACTGAATGTATTCAAGTGATATATTCATGTACATGTATGTACTTCCATATATAAAATGCTTCATAGAAAGTGTCTACGTTTTACCCAGTAAATTAGTTAAACTCTTGTGTAAAATACCCAAAGCATGAACTGACAATATCATCCTACCCTCCAAAATAGGATACACATTAAATAAAAAAGATGATTGCATTCAATTTAATTCTGTCCTTTCTTATCAAGATACCCTTTTCATCATCATTAAGCTCTTTTCTATATCTGCAGTTTTTCCAACATACTCAAATGCTTAGTCAGAACATTTTAAAATAAATCAGTGATGACATAACAAAGCTACATTTTAGAAATGATACCTTCAAGAGAGGTTGTCTACTTACCTGCAGGTTTGAGGGGGTATCAAGTCCAGCTGACCACTTAGCGGCTAGGGGGTTGTACTCATTATCCCAAAGACTCTCACTGCCGACAGGGGGCACATCAAAACCAGGCCACTCTTCACCTAATCAAAGGGAATCAACATTTAAACATAGCCAAAGTTAAGAGCAAAGCAAATTGTGAGTTGAAGACACCTGCATACTCAGAAGCTACTTGATCTACATTGCAATGATATCTATGGTTATTCTTGATAAACAAGACAGAATGACAGACCTCGCATAATCCTGAATTGTATCAATCTGATAGAGTTAGTCATACACTGAAATAAAATAACAAACCTTGCATGATCCTACGCTTGTGTTCTGCCAGTCGGATACGTCTTTCCTGTTGAAGTTTCTGCATCATGGTCTGAGGAGCATCATAGCCAGGGGAACTTGGGTAATTCATAAAGTTTCCTTCAATATCAAACAAATATACTTATAACTACAAATGCCCTAAAAATGCTGACAAATTCCCATGGACTGACAATTGGTTGAAAGTTCTAACACCTCTGACTAAGAGCAACTTTATTTTAGAGTATGCAAAGTATGACCATCAATAGACCTAGCATTAAAAAGTCATTGCCAAAAGAGCAATTAACTTCCAAGTCATGTGACCTTGACCTTAAGATAACAACCATGGCAGAATAACAACAGACTTCTTTGTCACAAGTAATCTTTGTGTCAGTATGACCTTATAATGCTCTTTTAATACATGTATATAAAGTTTTGTATTTGAATAGAACTTACAAGACCTTCAGAATTTGTCTTCTGAATTGTGAGCTGTGTATAAATGACCTTTGTTTAGGGTCGTGGCATATCTAATGATCATAATCAACCCTGAGATCAAGTATGATCCTCTAAAGCTATTCAAAACAAAATAATGCTGTGAACAAGAATTTAACATTTCAAAACCAGTGACTAAATGGTGCAAGGTTGTTAAACATCCTCTAATCAAAAGCAACTTTTGTGCCTGGTATAATCTAATGTTTTTGTCCAATTCAAAATTATTATCAAGAATTTTATATTTTGAAACCCTGTCACTGACCTTGTCCAAATAACCCTGAATTTAGGGTAGAACATACATCAAGTTGCAAGCAACCTTTACCTAAAGTAGAAGCTTTATAAGCCTCAAATGTTTCTCAATTTCAAAGTTGTAGCTACATGTAGAATCTACTGAATTTGATATTTTTGTTTCTTGTGATCTTGTATAAAATGACCTTGGTACAGGGTCATGGGACACAAGCTATTTATGCATCAATGTAAATCTTTAAAGTTACTCAGTTTCAAAATTACGTCCAAAAAGCACTCCTCCATTTCCAGTCAGAGAAGGTGAGTACATTGAAATCTCAAAAAAGCCATAACTTTTTAAATTTCTGACAAAAAGAGTCTGAAATATCAGGTGCACAAGTTCAGATGGTATGCAATATTTATAAAAAGTTTGATAAAAAAATGATTGTATAGTTTTCAGAGATAATATATACATGTATATATATACTGAAATCCACTTTAGAAGAAACAAAAACAAACATAAAAGGTGTGCTGCTGCTGTTGCATGCTCATTTTGATTAATTTTACCAGAGAATGGTCCACCAGCAGGAGCAAAAGGATCAGCGGGAACCTCTGGTTCTACACGGGGAGTGTCGGGGAGGGATGTCGGCAGGATGTTCTCGGTAGACGGTAGGCGATTAGTTTCCTGAATGGTCTGGAGTCCAAAGCTTCCAAGTCTGTTCAAAATAGTCCAATAGTTACAAAAGAGTTCTACATCTACAAATTGTTTTGATTTTCCTATATTATTATTCTTGATCATAGAATCTTAGAAATAAAAAAGAAGTTAACCATTTCAGAAATACAGTACCATACATAAGAATGAATGTCACCTTAAGTAAAGGAAGACATGCATACCTATTGGGGAATCCTGTGGTAAACTAAATCAGCTATATATATAAATCCAATAAATGATTAAGATATAACCCAACACATTGCCTGACTTGGGAGTTATCTTACAATGAGTCTTTGTGGTGAGTGGGGTGGTATTCTTAACACTAAAAAGAATAATCTTACTCTAAACTGAGGTGGCATTCCATATAGAGAACAAAACTTTATACTGAGGTGGGGTGGGTGTTTGAGGTGGCATTCTATATAAAGAACAATATACATGTAATTTTAAACTGAGTCAGGGGTGGTGGGTGGGGTGATACTCCATATATAGAACATAATAATCTTACACTGAGTCTGGGGTGGTGTGGCATTCCATATATAAAACAAGATAATCTTACACTGAGTCTGGGGTGGTGGGTGGAGTGGCATTCCATATATAAAACAAGATAATCTTACACTGAGTCTGGGGTGGTGGGTGGAGTGGCATTCCATATATAAAACAAGATAATCTTACACTGAGTCTGGGGTGGTGGGTGGGGTGGCATTCCATATATAAAACAAGATAATCTTACACTGAGTCTGGGGTGGTGGGTGGAGTGGCATTCCATATATAAAACAAGATAATCTTACACTGAGTCTGGGGTGGTGGGTGGGGTGGCATTCCATATATAAAACAAGATAATCTTACACTGAGTCTGGGGTGGTGGGTGGAGTGGCATTCCATATATAAAACAAGATAATCTTACACTGAGTCTGGGGTGGTGGGTGGAGTGACATTCCATATATAAAACAAGATAATCTTACACTGAGTCTGGGGTGGTGGGTGGAGTGGCATTCCAAACATTGCGTCCCTTGCCTGATCCCACGGGTGCAGCTCTTGCTTTTGTTCCAATGGCAGCTAAAAAAAAATCCTCAACATTCAAAGTTTAACAAGAAAAATACAATTTAACTTATTAATTCTATTATCTATATATCCAAAGATTTCACTGATGATAATGATAATACATGTACAGCCTACTCCACTTATATTGAAATCGATTATTTTGAAACATTGCTTATTTTGATGTAAAAGTAAATCCCCAGTCTAGGTTTTTCATTATCTTTGCAATAATATATCAGTTAAATTATATTAGAATTCTCCTAGCCAGTTGTCACAGTTAGTGATATTGTAATTATACAGGTAGATGCTAAGGTGTTAGTACATATATATTTTTTTCATCTAATAGTAAATAAATTACTGAGGGTGTATCTCATTCTTTCACTTCACATACTGACTATGCTTTTGATCAGCTGTTTGAACACACTCTTGTGTAAATGGGTAAATCACAAGAAAGATAAACGTTGTCTTCAGATAACTGAGTTAAATTAATGTCTGCCTAAGATAAAAAAGTGAAATCTAAATCCAAATTAGCAAAGGATTTTGGGATACATCCAAGCACACACTATAGCAATGATATAAATGTACAACAGCATGCCACTTATTTTGAAGCCTTCGAGTCCATGCAAGTCTGGCGACTTTTCCACTAACTAATAAAGAATAAGATCAGGAAATTATACCAAAGTTGAAAAATTTTGGACTTTTTTCAAATAAAACTTTTACTAATTTTATAAAGAGACTATTTCATTTCAATTTTCAAGTTTCGTTAATTTAATCGTTTATATGGTTCGAGTTGTCTAGGTGTTTAAGATTGGGATCAAGATTTTAAAACGTCCTTGTAGGCCAATTCCGCTTACTTTGAACTTGGGTTATATTAAAAAAAATGTGTTGGTTCCCTTTGAATTTCAATATATCCATAGCAGACTGCATATTGTAGAAATGTCATACTTATATAACCAAAGCCTAAACTATGTCCCACAAAATTTGCCTCTACAGCAAAAAGATTTTTCTACATTTATAGAGGTATTCAATGCATGGTCTAAGACTATATCACTGTACAAAATTTTTGAACAGTCTGACAGCCTGAGTTCTGATATAAGCCTTAAATTTAACAGAAGACAGTGACCCTGTATCTGTTGAGTTCTGATATGAGCCTTAAACTTAACAGAAGACGGTGACCCTGTATCTGTTGAGTGCTGATATGAGCCTTAAACTTAACAGAAGACGGTGACCCTGTATCTGTTGAGTTCTGATATGAGCCTTAAACTTAACAGAAGACGGTGACCCTGTACCTGTTGAGTTCTGATATGAGCCTTAAACTTAACAGAAGACGGTGACCCTGTATCTGTTGAGTTCTGATATGAGCCTTAAACTTAACAGAAGACGGTGACCCTGTATCTGTTGAGTTCTGATATGAGCCTTAAACTTAACAGAAGACGGTGACCCTGTATCTGTTGAGTGCTGATATGAGCCTTAAACTTAACAGAAGACGGTGACCCTGTATCTGTTGAGTGCTGATATGAGCCTTAAACTTAACAGAAGACGGTGACCCTGTATCTGTTGAGTTCTGATATGAGCCTTAAACTTAACAGAAGACGGTGACCCTGTATCTGTTGAGTTCTGATATGAGCCTTAAACTTAACAGAAGACGGTGACCCTGTATCTGTTGAGTTCTGATATGAGCCTTAAACTTAACAGAAGACGGTGACCCTGTACCTGTTGAGTTCTGATATGAGCCTTAAACTTAACAGAAGACGGTGACCCTGTATCTGTTGAGTTCTGATATGAGCCTTAAACTTAACAGAAGACGGTGACCCTGTATCTGTTGAGTGCTGATATGAGCCTTAAACTTAACAGAAGACGGTGACCCTGTATCTGTTGAGTTTTGATATGAGCCTTAAACTTAACAGAAGACGGAGACCCTGTATCTGTTGAGTTCTGATATATAATTAAGGTAAATTTTCACACCTTTACCTGGGATGTTAGGTTCTAGCCCAGGGAAAGTATTGATGCGTCGTGGTTCCTTGTATTTTCCATTTTCAGTGCTGCTCACTATGTCACTGTAACTACTTGAACGTGAACTGCTGGACAATATGTCGGGGGTAGTTCCATTTGGTGTCATGTTCTTTCCATGTTTCTGTGCAAATCGGGCTGTCTGCTGAGCTAGTTCACTGAGATCCTCATCTGCAATATAAACTTTTCATGAAGCAAATGACATAAATCAGACCAACTTTGATTTATTTTCCCACTATTTCTGCCAAAAGAACATGAAAAGCTTAACATTTTTTCTGATGCTTTTTTCACCAACACTTTGTTTTTAAAAATATTTTATTCATATTAGTTACTTAAAATGTTCATCACTTTGTATTTATGAAGTACATGTATTTAACTCATAAAATTTTATCCACTTATTTCATATAGAACTACAAAATAAAATTAAAAAAAATATGACTAAAATATGTAAAAATATAACTTGAAGTAATGTTCTTGGATTGCACTGGGGATAACTTCAGACAAAGTTATGGTGCATGGGGGTAAACAGAAGGGGTATTACATAGAAGTGGAACATCAGAGGAAAATATTGAACCCTTCTACCAAATGATGAAATGAAAAGGGAACACAGATACATGCAAATGCACACTGAAGTCCACTGAATTAATATGCAATAGATAGACCTTTTTAACTATGAAACATAAAAGTTAACCAAGGAAACCTATTTAGTATTCTTCATATAAACAGTAGCAATGTTCAAAACAAGCTAATTCAGGGAACTTGTGTCCCCTGCTTAATGTAAAAAGAATAGCAAGAAAGACCTGAAAAAATGTAGATGGAAAAAGAAAAAGATCAACCTTGACCTGTCAACTTTTGGCCTTAAAGTCAAGAAGGGTCTTGCTTGAGTTAGAGAAATTCATGACCTTAAGTTTCAAAGCAAAAATTTACAGAAATGCATGCAATATATGAATTTCCGACCTTGACCTTAGACCTCAAAATCAAAAAAAGATTCTTCTTCAAGTCATATTGACTGAAGGTATTACATGTTATTGCAGACCCTAAAAGAGAACTCAAGTTATCATCAGGAAACCATTTTTTACAAGACATGAATTTTTTTACCTTAACCCTTTGACCTCAAAATCAATAGGGGTCTTCTTTCAGTCATTGGTATTAATGATATGATTGAAAAAGCTCAAATAAAATTAAAGTTATCTTGAATCCATTTTTCACAATGTATGAATTTCTGACCTTGACCTTTGATTTTTTAACCTAAAAATCAAAAGGAATCATCTGTAGGTCACTGGGAGCTATAATATAAATTTTCATTGAAAAAACTCAAAGAAAACTAATTATCATCTGAAAACCATTTCCTGCAATAAATGAAATTCTGACCTTGTCCTTTTGACCTTGAAATCAATTTTCTTTAGGCTATAGAGAGTTGGAACATAAAATTTCATGGCAAAAGCTTAAAGGCTTATTGAGATATTGCCCAGAAACAAAAGTGTTACACACAGTTCTCGCACAGGTAATACTGATTTTTGATAAGCATTCAAGCACTGTAGAAAGTTTGAGTACATATTGAGTAATTGCAATAATAGGCATAAGGGTATACAAAAAAATCCAAATTCTGCATTAAAGCCCAATAATAAAAAAAGAAGTACATAAAGCATTCACAGCAAACCAAATTTTGCTGGCTCTGAATACTCACCACATGAAAAGACTGAGTATGACTTTCCATAGAACTGAGTAATATTGCAATGTGACTAGCATCTACGAGAGTAACCCTCTTGTTTGATAATATTTCAACAGTTTTCCAGATCTGCAGTCCATGTCAAACCCCATTACCAGGCAGTATTTAACAATTAAAAAAGAAATTTGGTGTGATTTCCTTCATTAATTGGTGTAAAACAAAATATGTAAAGTTTTCAATCATATATTGTCAATAACTTTCCATATTGTCCTATATTTTTTTCTGCATTTCAAGTTATGCATCTTTATTTTAACAGAAGACTATATGGAATCAGTATTAGATATCTGAACTGTAGGATTTGAACACAGACCTTAGAAATGAAAGGGGTGGTGCTAGAAAGATATTTAAGAAGTACACATTGAGAGCTAACCGGGGGAGTTGACTGGCATGTCCCAGTTAGGCATCGGCTCATCCAGGCTGCCTCGACTGTCAGAACTTTCCGAGTCACCTAGACAACAACGAAAACATGCAGTGACAACATGCAACATCTCAAACAACAGCAACAAACAACAGATAATTCTACACACTACATTACAGAGAAGTTTACTGTTAAATTTGAACAGTGTGCCTGCCAACATGAAGTGAAAAAAATAAAACACAACATATATGTTTATATATAAACACAGATCACAAGGAGATAGACAATTATGATTGAATGAATGAAAAATTACAAGACATTTGAAATAACTGTCCTTCTGAAATTACATATACATGTATGTACTTTTTCAAAACTTAATAAAATGTTTAAAAAAAAATAAAAATAAATTTCCAGCATTAAATGAAAATTCCCAAGCCCTTTTCCTTCCTTTTTAAAAACAAGAGGCCCATGGGCCACATCGCTCACCTGAGTAACTTTGGCCATAATGTTCTTTACCAGATTTCCCCCCTTCTAATACTTATTGTGGCCCCGCCCTACCCCTTGGGGTCATGATTTTAACAATTAAAAATCTACACTATCCCAGGATGCTTCCACATAATTTTCAGTTTTTCTGGCCCAGTTGTTCTTGAGAAGAAGATTTTCAATGTAAAATTGGATTCCCTATTGTTGCCCCGCCCTACCCCAAGGGGTCATGATTTTTACAATTTAGTATCTACACTACCCCAGGATGCTTCCACATAAGTTTCAGTTTTTCTGGCCCAGTTGTGCTTGAGAAGAAGATTTTTCAAGATTTTTCTTACATATTTCAATGTAAAACTTGGATTCCCTATTGTTGCCCCGCCCTACCCCCGGGGGTCATGATTTTTACAATTTAGCATCTACACTACCCCAGGATGCTTCCACATTAGTTTCAGCTTTTCTGGCCCAGTTATTCTTGAAAAGAAGATTTTAAAAGATTTTTCCTATTTATTTCAATGTAAAACTTGGATTCCCTATTGTGGCCCCGCCCTATCCCCGGGGGTCACGATTTGAATAATTTAGAATCTACACTACCCCAGGATACTTCCACATAAGTTTCAGCTTTTCTTGCCTAATGGTTCTTGAGAAGAAGATTTTTCAAGATTTTTCTTACATATTTCAATGTAAAACTTGGATTCCCTATTGTTGCCCCGCCCTACCCCCGGGGGTCATGATTTTTACAATTTAGCATCTACACTATCCCAGGATGCTTCCACATAAGTTTCAGCTTTTCTGGCCCAGTTGTTCTTGAGAAGAATATCTTAAAAGAAATTTCCTATTTATTTCAATGTAAAACATGGATTCCCTATTGTGGCCCCGCCCTATCCCCTGGGGTCATGATTTGAATAATTTAGAATCTACACTACCCCAGGATACTTCCACATAAGTTTCAGCTTTTCTGGCCTAGTGGTTCTTGAGAAGAAGATTTTTAAAGATTTTTCCTATATATTTCAATGTAAAACATGGATTCCCTATTGTGGCCCCGCCCTAACCCCCGGGGGTCATGATATTAAAATTTAAAATCTACACTATCCCAGGATGCTTCCACATAAGTTTCAGGTTTTTTGGCCCAGTGGTTCTTGAGAAGAAGATTTTTAAAGATTTTTCCTATATATTTCAATGTAAAACATGGATTCCCTATTGTGGCCCCTCCCTACCCCCAGGGGTCATGATTTTAACAAGTTAAAATCTACACTATCCAAGGATGCTTCCACATAAGTTTCAGCTTTTTTGGCCCAGTGGTTCTTGAGAAAAAGATTTTTAAAGATTTTTCCTATATATTTCTATGTAAAACATTGATTCCACATTGTTGCCCCGCCCTACCCCCTGGGGTCATGATTTGAACAATTTAGAATCTACACTACCCCAGGATGCTTCCATATAAGTTTCAGCTTTACTGGCCCAGTGGTTCTTGAGAAGAAGATTTTTTAATGACCCCACCCTATTTTTGTCTTCTCTTGATTATCTCCCCTTATGAGGGGACTTGGCCCTTCATTTTAACAATTTAAATTTCCCTTCACCCAAGGATGCTTTGTACCAAGTTTGGTCAAAATTGGCCCAGTGGTTCTTGAGAAGAAGTCAAAAATGTGAAAAGTTTACAGACGGACGGACAGACAGACAGACGGACGGACAGACGGACAGACGGACGACGGACAAAATGTGATCAGAAAAGCTCACTTGAGCCTTCAGCTCAGGTGAGCTAATAAATAAGCAAATAATTTTAAAAAATATATAAATATAAACTCCAAAAATTAATTCTCAAAAAAGAATTCCCAAAATGCTTGCTTGCATATTGAAAATGAGGTGCAACTATTCATTAATGTGCATGTGTTCTGTCTGCATAATAAAATAAATCTGTTTATTTGCAACAAGTTACTGATAAATAACATGTAAAATTGCAAAGGGGTAAGATATTTTCTGAAATTCTGTGTATTGAGGGAGGAATGAAGGAAAACAACAATGAAATGAAAGTGAGAATCTCATACCAAAATAACAAGAATCTAAAAGAAAAAAAGGTATCCACAAATCAAAAACACAGTGGGAAAACTTAAAAGTGCACTAAAGGTAAAGAAAAAACACTCTATTTGCTTTCACTTTGAGTCCAAACTTATATTTTGCCAAGAAATTCACAGATCTCTATAAATAGATGTGTAAATTTCAGCCAGCTGGAAGAGAAAGCAATAGTTAGCTCACCTTTAAGGTTCTGAAGTTTCAAAGCTTTCTTTTTAGACTTTTCCTTCTTTTCCAATTTTTCCATATCATATGGCAATTCCAGGGAACTGTAATATTCAAGTTTTTTTTTTTTACTTTCATGCTTCTATTTCAAAACAATTTTTTAGTTTTACATGTAATTGATTAAAAATATTAAACTGAAAATTAGTTAGTCTGCAATTATACTCTTTAAAGTTTGGTTGACATTCTATAAATCAGATTAACATTACTGACCTATCAAAATTTTTTATCATAATTTCAACATCTCATTGCCTTGTGACCTTAACCTTGAGTCAAGATCATGACATACTTTCAGATTATTAGCAACAATATGATCAATTTTGATATTACTCCTACTAAGGTTGTAAAATAACATCCAAAATATGATACATGTATCTAGGGATGGGAGGATCATTTACATTCTAAAGAAATTAACAGGTAATGTATATTTGGGGAAAAAAGCAAGATGTGTTTGTGAAGCACTGATATCTCCATATGGCAGCTCTTAGCAAAGGTTAAAGTTTCTCAAATGCAAGTCAAGCTTTAAGGTCAAGAGATAAAAAATGTTGGTGCCCAAAGTAAGGTTGTATCACAGGGAATACACCTGTGAAATATGAAGCAATCATTCAGAAATTAGGGTCAAGGTTAATTTTTTTTTTCAAAAGTAGGTCAAACTCTTAGGTCACTTCATGAGGTCAAAAATATTGGTACTCAAGAAAGGGTCTTGTCACAAGAAATATCTGTGATATATGAAAGCCCTAGCACCAAGCATTCAAAAATTATGACCAAGATTAAAGTTTTTCAAAAGCAGGTCAAACTCTGAGGTCCAGGTCAAAAGGTCAGAATTGTTGATACCCAAGGAAAGTTCTTGTTGCAAAGAAAACACATCTGAATATGAAAGACCTAGCACCACCATTCAATTTTATGGCCAGGGTTTAAGGATCAAAATTGTTGGTACCCAAGGGAAGGTCTTGCCACAAGGAATATACATGTGAAGTATGAAAGCCCTAGCTCCAACCATTTTTTTTTGTTAAGTTAAGACTAAATGTAATTGAAATGTAATTGAAATGTTAATGTAATTACATATCATTTGTAATGTCATTAACTAATTTATAATTACATGTAATTGAAATATATTTAATTACAAATTACTTCAAGTAACCAATTACTTGAAAATTTTAAACAATTACTTTTTCATTTACCCCATCCCAACATATATCAATATTTCACTTCCAAGTATTACTGATCTTTAGATATGACTGAAGACATGACAGTAGCAACAATATACTCAAGTTTGAATTCCTTCAAAGGTTCCTGAGTTGAAACCTGAACAGAATTTTACTATCTCACCACCTAGTAACCTAGGCATTCATTAAATGACCTGGATTAAGACATGCCTAACATTTCGGTCATGAGCAGTAATATGTTACAGATTGAATCCATTCTAATGAAGAATGGTAGTTAAGGCTGGAGACTACCTTGCCAAACCCAATACATTTCCTCCCTATGGGAGATGGTATATAATGAATACAATCAAAACATTTCCTTCTAACTTTCTACTTTTGATAAAAGATTGAACAGTTCTTACTCAGGATGGAAGATGTCTCCACCATACACGTCCTTTGACTTGCCCTTGATACGCTTGTGTCCTTTTGATTTGGATGTCAGCTCAAACTCGGCATCATCTGCAGTCTTGTCATAATGTCCAGTGGTTTTGACAACTCGGGGTTTAGACTTTTTCGGTTTGGGATGGTGCTGCGGTTCAGGAGTAGAGTCTCGGGCACTTGAACTCTTTAAAAAATTAACATTTAAAATTAAACATCTGTTCTAAAACATAAAAAAATATAATCAATGGATTTTTACAAGCAACCTATTCTATACTAAAAGAAACAATGTCATATTTTTCAAATTCTCAATATTTTCCCTATTTGCAGCACCATTGTTCCTTCTTAATTCAAATACATGTGTATGAAAATACAGATAGTATACACAGAGTCTTTTGTTCACATTACTAACAGTGTTTTCTGGATAATGATTTCTTTAATGATTAATACCTTCTCCTCAACATCACCAACAGAAGATTCTGTAGAAGTGGATGATGTTTCATCATCAACACTTGCTTGAGTCATGTATCGGGGTATTATTTCTGGTCTGCTTTTGTTTTTCTTACGATTCTTCAATTTTGCTATCAAAATATACAACAAAATGATAAGACAGTTATACATATAAATATTGACTAAATCGTTTCCTTCAGTAATGAAGTCTGCTCCATACAAGGCATATATACAGCTGAAGATTACTTTTATATTTTACTTCTTTTCTCATTGTCTGCTGCAGAAAACCAAGTGTGCAAAAAAAAAAAAAAGGATTTATTATGGAGAAAACAAATATTTTAAGCTTCACTGGATATGAAAAATTGAACTTACTGTCAGATATGTCAGATTTTGGATCCTCCACAAGATTAAAATCATCTAATCCAGTAGAAGAAGTTTTATGAGAGTTTTTATACATCTTATCATGGTGTTCTTGGCTGTTTTGTCTATTGTAAGTAAGACTGGTATCATTCTGTTTGGCCTCCTGGGGACCACTGTTGTAAACGTCGCTCTGATTGGTTAAAAGCTCACTTGAGTGTTGTCTGCGTGCTGCCTTTTTGTTTTTATTCCTCTGTGTCATGTTGGATTTCTCTGTAGATTCCTGGTTGACTGACGTTCGTTCGTCAGCCGATTTGACTTTTGGCACCTGCTGGGATTGAGCCGGTTCCTCTTTAACTGGTTCCCCTTTTTCTACCTTTGATTTTTTGTTATTATTGGATCTTGAAGATTTTGAAGCAAACAACTTCTTTAAAACTTTCAAAAGGGTACTTCCAAAGGCTTCTTTATGGCTCCTGTGTTCTACATGTCCGTTACTTAAGTTCACTGCAGTTTTGGTAGTTAAGTTATTATTTTGTGTAAGAAGTGGGGAAACTTGTGTTATTCTAGTGGGTGAGTTTGGAGTATGTGTTGAAGTTAACCCTGCAACTTGTCTGAGATCAAATATTTTATTTCTATCAAAAGTCTGTGCTGCACTACTAAATTTAATCTTCCTCCGAATTATATCTGCAACAAAAATCCGATCAGCTTCAAAATATGCTGCCACAAGAATGCAGAATAATAAGAAAGCCATAACACAAGTGATTGAGTAGTATAAAACTGGTTCCCAGTTGGGACGGGGAAGAGCCGCTGAGCAGCGTGACAGAGTATGTGGGGGTATGGTGGCCTGTAGTGTGTAATTTGCGACAGGTCCTAAACTGCTGTGAATTGTTAAAATTCTTCTTATCCTGGACATGGTAAAATCAGGGGTAAACCTGTGATAATGTGAAATCAACAAATAATTACTGCATTTAAGAAAATCTCATAATCAAAATTTGACTTAAAATCTGTTAACTTATCTATTTATGAATTAGCCTCCCTCTTCCTTTTCCCCTTAAATTCATGGAATAACATTAACAATCCAAAAAGTTACCAATTTAAGTTCCTTTCATATAAAACACTGAAGGTTCATACAACTTTCACTATGTAACATTTGTACACTTACGCTATGTCTATTTTACGACTGGTATTAGGTAACATCTCGTAACCCTCACAATCTAAAACTCGGAAACCATAACCTTCACATGGTGACCCATTTATGCTGTAACTATGGATAAAAAATGGAAGTTCTCCTGTATTTTTTAAAGTAAACGATCTTCTGACTGTAAAATTTGGTACCATTGTGTTTTTTGTTTGCTTCTTTTCTGAAAACCAATAAAACTTTTGTTAGTTTCAGACAGCTATTATCTATAATCACAACAAAATAGGAATCTGGACATCGTCTTAGTACTACCTAAATTTGTTTTTGACATGTACTTGTTGAAGGGTAATTATTCTGTTTTTACAAAGGGTATTATACAATTTTATTAAGGGTTATTATACTACATGTATTTTTTTTATCATTTTTGTTGCATGTTCCCTTTACAATAATTGAGTTTTTCTTTCATAGCAACAAATTCATATCACATTTTTGGGAATGTTCTGTCTGACAAGGCAAAACTTCGTGTCAAAATTTGAAAAAGTTTTCTTCCATTGTAACATAATTTTTGATGTATTTTTCTGTGATGTTGAGACTTACTATCACAATTTTTGAGGTGCTTTTCTGTAATGTCAAACTGAAGAGGTATTGAAGATCCCGGCCTTTTGTTGCTAAGTTTCATTTCTCCCCTACCTCCCTGTCCTTGTACAACTATTGCATCTATTATTGTTAAGTTATTCCTACATAAAATAAATCAATTTTATCATTAACATGACATTCACTACATTTTCTCATTTCATTCACACAAAACACATTGCAGAAAAGATTTTTTTTTTATTCATAAAACATAAATTTTATCATGATAAACCAATTCTCCTTTTGATTCAAGTGGTTTTTCAGCTTTAATGATGAAACAAAAGAAAGAACTATGTAACACAGATATGAAATCATATCTGTAGAACCTTGCCTTATGAGTATTATTGAAGTTCTAGAAATATCATCCTTTGGTTGGAATCCCACTCTGACCTTGACCTTGACCCCAGGCTGCAGTATGGTGGTTATACTAAGTTTGTGTGGCTTCACTCCTAATGAAGTTTCAATGTGTTTTCTAAAACCAGGGACAGGATTTTGTCGACTGGGCTAAAATTGGAGAGTAAATTTGTAAACAACCTTTGCACACAATCTAAAATTTTATTCACTGACTTATTTTAAAATGTGACTCAAAAATCTTACATTATATTGTTCTAAATCAGGTAAAGTAAAAATATCCAGGTCATCCATTTCAATGGTGTCACCTGGATCTGTGGAAAATCTAAAACTAAATAAACAAACCATTCTGATTAGGGTAAGACAAACTTATTCCAACACAAAACATTGTATAAAATTCAATGGAAATCTGAAATCCCCATCTTCTAAGGAAAACCTCATGACTTAAATTTGTTTTTTACAATTATCCTCTAATGGGGTCAGAAATAAATGATCTCAATCCTTGATATTTTCAATTGGTAAAAAAATTTTCTGGACTTACTTTCTGTATAATAGATCTGCTATAGTCTGTGGATTAGGATAGAGGGGTAGTGGTAAAATCTGGATTAAAACTGGAATATCTCCTGGATTTTCCACAATAAAATCTGATATCTAAAAAAAAAAACAACAACATTGAGAACGTAAGAAAAACTACCTAATTTGTTGAAAGATAGTTTTACTATACATTACTATTTTGTTAAATACATAGTTGGACACTTGTGTATCATTTACAACACTGATTAACCTAAAATGTAAGAAAGTATGAGTAATTTTCTGAAAGACAGAAATGCTATTACTTCTTCCAACTTCAACCCATGAAAAACAGTATCACTTCTTGTCCTACAGTAGGTATGATCAAAAATCACTGGGAAAAGTATGCAATAATTTTAAAACATGTAACAATTGGTTTTAATATGTTTTGAAAAGTACTTCATCTGATTTCTTATTTTAAAAAAAAAATCTCTTGAGAAAAAAAAAACTAAATTATTTTTGACATATATTTTCTTCACGGAAGTAACTCTGTAAATCAAGTCTTTGATACTTACTGAAATATTTCCTATTTGTGTTAGTGGAAATCTAATATGACACTTTCTGACTAGAGAAGGCCAATGTAAGTGTGCTTGAGCAGAATACAAAAAACCTCGGACTTCATTGGTGTCCATTTCTATAGTTACATTGGCACTACAATCATAAGATTGAGAAAATAAGACTCATTGAAAACATGTTCAACTCTTCCCATTAAAATTTTCAGTCTAATAAAAGTAACAAATGTAAACAGAACATACGTATTTAAATTAGATTTTTGAATGGTTCGCCACTTTTGCTGCAGCTTGGTGTATAAATATTGATCTGTTTCTATTACATCACGGAATAACCCTAGGCCAAGCAACCACTGATGACCAGCTGAAAACAAATTAACAACCTCAATAACTACTTCACAAGTTAAACATAGATAAAATTTCTCTGTATTTCGACAATTTTACATTCAGATATGAATTATTTCAAATACATCATTAAATTCTGCATAAATTCCACGCACCTGGTGTATTTGTTGCTAAACCTACATAGCATTCATCTTTACACTCTCTTTTTGCATCAAAATATATTTTACCAACCTGAAATATAAATACCTTTTCTTTTATCTCATCCTTTTCCAATAGGATCAACCCAATATATAAAAATAGAGAAATCTCTCAACAAAACTTGAGTGTTCAAGGAAAATTTGTCACTTCCAATGCTGAATTTTATCACCTGATGCAGGCTATGGTAATAAATGACAGGTGAAGATTCACACAGAGGTAGTGCAATTTTTTTTTTAATTCACCATTTGTGTTTAAGCTTGACAATCATCGTCTCAAACAAATAGACAGACATTCCAAGTGACTTTGTAAAACAATGTCTTACATTATTTGGTTTATCTGGAATAAGGAGTATTCTTTCAGTACTGGGGGGTTCATAGTAAAATCTACTATCTGGAGGCTGGAATGTTACTCCTATTACTTCCATATAGTCACGGAATGTGGAGTGAATCTGTAAAACTCGATAATCTACCATACCCTGAAAAAAAAAAAAGCATAGGTAACCAAAGATTACAAAGCTCACCTCCACAAATGCTGTCTATAAGTGAAGGCAATGTCTCTCATCAAATGGATGTTCTGGTAGTATGCTTATCTAGATGCAACAACCAGCTTCAAAGTCACATTGGAATGAACCTTCTCAAAAACTAACTTGGTCATTCATCTGGAAATGTAGGCCAAATACATACCTTGTAGTGTGAATCCCTAGATGCATCATCCATGCAATTTTGGTCCAAGTAGGGCTTTTAGTTACTTGGGAATGGATCTGCTCCAAAAATGTTGCTCAGATCCAGCATTTGAAGCAAGTCTGGAAGTGTGCATCCCTAGATGCATCACCCATGCAAATTTTGTCCAAGAAAGGCTTAGAGTTACTTGGGAATGGACCTGCTCCAAAATGTAGGTCATATTCAGCATCTGAAGCAAGTCTGGAAGTGTGCATCCCTAGATGCATCATCCATGCAATTTTGGTCCAAGTAGGGCTTTTAGTTACTTGGGAATGGATCTGCTCCAAAAATGTTGCTCAGATCCAGCATTTGAAGCAAGTCTGGTAGTGTGCATCCCTAGATGCATCATCCATGCAAATTTGGTCCAAGAAAGGCTTAGAGTTACTTGGGAATGGACCTGCTCCAAAATGTAGGTCATATTCAGCATCTGAAGCAAGTCTGGAAGTGTGCATCCCTAGATGCATCATCCATGCAAGTTTGGTCCAAGTAAGGCTTAGAGTTACTTGGGAATTGACCTGCTCCAAAAATGTAGGTCATACCCATCATCTAAAGCAAGTCTGAAAGTGTGCATAGTATCATCCATGCAAGTTTGGTCACCATAGGCTTATAGTTACCCAGGAAGATACATGCTCCAAAAACATGAACTTGGCCACTCAACTGGAAAATATAGGTTACATTCAGCATCTGAAGCATGTCTGGTAATTTGCATTCCTAGATGCATGAGCTATGCAAGTTTGGTCCAGACTGTGATAACAGTTACTTGAGAATAGACCTGCTCCAAAAACTTTAACCTATTCAGACATCCAGAAAACGTAACTCAGATCCAGCATCCAAAGCAAATCTGGTTATGTACATCCCTAGGTGCATCGTCCATACAAGTTTGGTCAAAGTAGGTCTTATAGTTACTTAAGAATAGACTTGCCCCAAAAACTTCAACCAGGTCACTTTTCTGGAAAATGTAGGTCAGATCCAGCATCCAAAGCAAGTTTGGTAGTGTGTATCCCTAGCTGCATCACCATGTGAGTTTGGTCCCGATAGCGATTAGTTACTTGGGAATAGACTTGACCACAAAACTTTAACTGGGAAGCCGACACCAGCTTAATATCATTAGCTCGTCTCAACATCATCAAGTTAAGCTTACCAGATTTTTATGATTAATCTGAGCTATGACAAGACTTGATTTTCATAATGTGAGTCTATGCTTGAATGATGATTCATGCCATTTTAGGACTAAATTGTATTGCAAATGAAACATAGTAATGTATACTGAGAAGACACGAAACAAAATTCTGGAGGAAAAAAATATGAGTTTAAATATAGTTATACTTCTCTGGTATTTAACCTTAACCTCAAAGTATGAGTCATACTTTGAGGTTAAGGTCAAGTACCAAAGGAGTATAACACTTGTATGACACTTGACATTCTTCAAGGAATGAGTTTGACTAAGCTATTCAAAATATTATGATTTCCAAGTAAATGTAATTCTGTCTCCAAAACAGGACTCAAATACTAAATTCTATTCAAAAATAGTATATCTGTTTAATTTATCTATACCAAAAATATGATCACTAGCAGCTGAATGTTTTATTTATAATTCTGTCTCCAAATCTGGACCCAAAAACTAAATTCTATTTGCACACAATTTCCTGATGAAAGAAAATTCAAGAAAATCTTTTATTTATGACACTGCATATCCAAATTGAATAGAATTGTTCTAATAAGGTAATATATGTACATATTTCCTTGTTTACTTACAGGATACATTTTATCAAAATGAAGTGATTCTGGGATAGCTATAAGACTCCCATCAGCTGTACGAACAGCTATAGGTATCCAAATATCCTCAAACTGTGTTGTAATCAGCATGTCTGAAGCAAAAACCCCTTCATGGTCTGGTGCTGTTAAATTTAACCTAAACACTGCATAATGGTATGGTTTGATCTTCAGCTGAAATGATACGGATCAGGGCTTCTTAACAGATGAATTAAAAAAGAAATTATTTACTCATAATTTTTTACTAGATTTGAGAGACATCACCAACAGATTCCTCTTTTCATACATAAAATAAAGCTAAAAGGTCTCCATCAACACTACTGTATACAGAAAAATAGAATTACAGCTGTAAATAGTTACATGCAGAATTTGTTGTCTTCCAACTTTTTTTCAAAATGAAATAGAATGATTTTTAAATGTTCCACCTTGAAAATAATCTGCACAATTTTGAGACACAACACAGTCCATACTTCACCCGGGGCAAATGAGTCCTCAGACAAGTCATATCCATTCATAAACACAAGTAAACAGGTAAACACAGGTAAAGAAAGAAAGAAGAAGCTTAAAGAGAACATGATGCCAATAACCATGTCTGAACACCAAAAAATAAAACCAAATTTCAGGAAATAACAAAGGATACAGAATAACTCTGAATAATTAACGTTGCATTGGCATTAATATAATCCCAGGAAATGTATGATGTATTTTTAGGCACTTCAAGGGTCTCCAAATGAGGAAGTTAGGTGATTAATACACAAAATTATCAAAACAAATAGAACACAGTGTATATGCAATTGCCCAATGTTAAGATCAATATAACGTTAACCATTTAACCAAAATCAGGGAGTTCTGACAAGAATGTAGCTCTACTGATTTGTACTTAAAGGAAGAGAAAAGTAGCACTCAGACTAGAAACAATACAAATGCCAATATATAAAATAACTAGTAAACTAATTGTTCACAGAACAATTAGAGGTCTTTCCACCTTTTTAAGTGTTTCCGTGTCATTTGGGCTGAAAAAAATGAAGAAAAATGCAATAAATGCAAAAAAAAAAAAAAAAAAAAAAAAATCCTCCAGCTGGGATCGAACTCAAAACCCTTGGTTTGAAAGGCAGGTGTGCTAACCATTATGCCACGCACTTCAATAACAATAGTATGTTAAAATGTTTAGGACTATAGAATAATTGCAAGCGTATTTTTAGAATCGGTAGGGGAAGAAAGAAGTTCCGTAAAAGGAAATAGTTCCTGAATTTGCAAGCAGTATATTAAATAATAAGGGACGGGCTGCGTAAGAAAACATTAACACTGTTCCCTAATGAAAATGTATTAATGGACTGTAGCCCGATTCATCGATATTGTGAGCATGCTCAATTTTTTGTAAATAGCTTTGTTGTAAGCTTAAAAGATCGGGTTCGGATTTTAACATTTCTGACTGAATATCCTGAAATAACTATGAAACATTTAAATAAGCATTTCTTTGGGTTAAATTAAATATGTGTATCACAAATTAAACTCCCAACATGCATTTTTAGAAGGGAAAGACGACAATGAAAGCGAGAATTGTTTTTAATCTACCGAAAATCGCTATTTCTGGAAACTGATTAATTCTAAATAAAAATCAAATAAATTCCAAATGTAAAAGAAAGAGAGAATGCTTGGTATTAAAATGTCATATCATATCAGGAGAATCGAATGCTGCTAACGACATCTGAAGAAATAGCCGATAAAAGGTTTAGATCATTTCTTCGTTCACCTGCACTTTAATTACAAACACAACAGAACTTGTAGTTTTTGCCGTGAAACTTCAAGACTTCTATAAACTTATAGGACTCACCGTAAAACTCTCCAGAAACTTTCTCTGAGGTCTATACTACAATTGTACCAAATATGGTGTCGATCCGAGGTCTGGTTTGAATTTGACAGAAATATTCTACGTTGTTGTTGATTGTTTTTTTTTTTTTTAAGAAGGGGGGGGGGGAGGTTAATTATTTATTTTATGCCTCTTTTAAACTAAGAATTGTAACTACTTCCACATCCTTAAGCCTGATTGTGACCTTGGGTCAAGGTCAAAGGTCAAGGTCAAAGGTCATTACAAAAAAAAAAAAAAAGAGAAATCTTTACTTTTCTATGTTTTTACCAGATACTGGAGCTGAATGCATGTCCTTACTTTTCCATTTGACCCAAGGTCAAGGTGAAAGGTCAAGGTCAAAGTTCAAGGTCATTTGGTAAATTGCCATATTTTACACATATATAAGGAATTTCTAATGTTTTTAAATGACCTTGACCTTTGACCTTGACCTATATTTCAAGGTCAAAGGTCGAACCTGCCCATGCAGTTGATCCCATGTCTCTAGGATACACCGTATTAAAAAAAAGTTCATTAAATGTAAGCAGCGTAAACTTCCAGGGGCAGTTACTCATACAAGGGACCAAAGAATGCTTTCGCAATGATAGAATGAAGAGAGTACCAAATGAGTCGAAGACACTGATGAAGGTTTGGAATCTCTACGGTTTACGGTGACGGAGGAGTAGCGATAACAAGGTTTTGTTGCACAAGGGGTGACAACTTTTGAATGGGTCAAGCTCGGGGGACAAGAATGAAATCTTTGAAATAGTTTTAGAAGGACATATTATAGATGCAAAGATATTCAGTATATGTTGAAAGACAAAAGAGATATTAAAAAAGCTAATTTTCTCATATTTTGAATGACCTTGACCTTTGACCTCTATATAAATTTCAAGGTCAAAGGTCACACATGCCAATGCTATTGGTCCCATGTCTCTACGATTAATCGTTTAGAAAAAAATTAATTATTCGTAACCATCAAAAACTTTCAGGGGCAATAACTAATTAAAGGGGTTTATGCAACCTTTCACACTGAATAGATTGAAGAGTCTACTAAATTAGTCAAAGACATTAGTGAAGGTTTCGTATCTCTACGGTTTAGGGTTTCGAAGGAGTAGCGATAACAAGCTTTTATTGCGAAAGGGGTTGTAACTCCTTGAGGGGTCAAAGTTCAAATACGCAGGGTCAACTGTAAAAATCTTTTACGAAGTGCATTCCTATGGACCATAAATCTTTTCGATAACTTTTAAAACAAAAAACCATTCGGCGGAAAAATAATAAAAATAACTAGTAGACTAATTGTTCACGGAACAATTAGAGGTCTTTCCACCTTCTTTTAATTTTTATTTGTTTTTATATTTACCCCTTTATATTTAAATTTCGAATAAAAAGAACCAAGAAATGGCTCGAAATATTGGAAAAATGACAATTTTCGAAAAATTTCATTGACCTTGATCTTTGACCTTGAACAAATAATCAAGGTAAAAGGTCAAGGGTCACATTGCACTTGACCCCATGCTTCTATGACTTTCAGTTTTAAAGTCATCAGCTTTAATAGTTATCGCAAAGACGTTAAAGGGTGATAACTCATATAAGGGGTCATCAGATCCTTTCGCACTGAATAGATTGAAGTTGTGTCTAAAGACCCTTAAGACATTAGTGAAGGTTTGGTTTCTCTGCGGCTTACGGTTTTGTAGGAGTAGCGATAACAAGGTTTTTAGTGAAAGGGGCAATAACTTTTAATGGGGTCAATCTTAGGGAACAAGTATAAAATCTTTGAAATAGTTTTAAGAGGACATATTAAAGATGCAAAGATATATAGTATAGGTTGAAAGACAAAAGCGATATAAGAATAGCTTAATTTCTCACATTTTGAATGACCTTGACCTTTGACCTTGAAAAAAATTTCTAGGTCTGAGGTCAAAGAATCTGATGCAGTTGGTTCCATGTTTCTACGACTTATCGTTTTGAAATTTTTTCATTATACATAAACTTCATAAACTTTCAGGGGTAATAACTCATTGAAGGGGTCAATGAATACTTTCGCAATGAATAGATTGAAGAGTCTTCTAAATTAGTCGAAGACATTGGTGAAGGTTTCGTATCTCCACGGTTAACGGTTTCAAAGGAGTAGCGATAACAAGCTTTTATTACGAAAGGGGTAATAACTCTTTGAGGGGTCAAAGTTCATTTATGCAGGGTCAAATGCAAAAATCTTTTACGGAGTACATTCTCATGGACAATAAATCTTTTCGAAAGATCTTGAAACAAAAAAGCGTCCGGCGGAAAAATAATAAAAATAATAATAAACAGAACAATTTCAATAGGTCTTTCCACAGAAAGGTGGAAAGACCTAATAATAATAATAATAAACAGAACAATTTCAATAGGTCTTTCCACAGAAAGGTGGAAAGACCTAATGATCTCTGGAATGCTTGATTGAAAGCTGAGGAAAACTGTATGAGTAGACCACAGAAATGTCTATTTTCAAATTAAGTAATAAATGTTTCAATATATTAATCCAGTTGAAATACACATTTTGCTAAAACATTTTTTCTATATGATTTTCCCCTGATTTACCTATAATCTTTTAACCCACTCTTTTTAGTTGTTCTTCTTTAATTTAAGATTATTGCTATAATCTTCGTTAATATAAATCATTGTCATCATATCCTTCAGTGTTCATGTCTTAAACCATGTCAATATGGGTATTCTGTGTTGCCAATGTGATATGCCCTATCAGGGCCTTATTTGTTGCTTATTTATAACTCAGCCTCGTTTTCAGTTGCACCATCTTAGCATCAGTAGTTATTGTGAAAATCTCCAAGGTCCTGGAGATAGATCAGTTATAATTAATGCACTGTAAGTCAGTTGTCAGTCCCCATGATCCAATATGTGTTTTTGTATATATAATAAACTTTGTAACTATAACAGTGTTGAGTTTTATATAAACTTATCAGTGTCTCTTGATTTACTTACAAAGTTGTAATCCACTTCTGTAATGTTATGTCTTTGAGTTAACATTGTCCCATTCCCTCTTTCCATTCCAAGAAAAAACACCTTGGTACCATTCATATCTGGGGTGATCTCCCCTATATGAACCTAAAAATACATTTAAAACCATGTTTTAAGGTAGCTAACAAAACCTGATCTCTTTGCAGCATCACCTGTAAATAAAAGAGGTCACAAGATTAACCAACCAACAACACCCAACCCCCCTCCAATGTAAGAGTAAATTACAATAACATTTAGAGGGTAGAAACAGCTTCCACACAATTAATATGCTGAACGATTTAACATTTTCACAAACTTTGGTAAATATTATAAAAAAAAATTTCTGTAGCTTTCACATGTAAATCAACGACAAATTTATTTTCAAAGCTATGTCACTTTATCTTTTTATAAATGCAAAGTTTCAATAAGATCTGTTTTTTGTTTCTCTCTCCAAAAATTTGTCATAGAGAACTGGCTGAATCAAACAACAAAAATATACCTCATTGAATGGTTTAGAAAAAGGCAGATTTATCAAAGGTGATCAGCAAATAAAATTTTTCATATTAAAAAAAAAACAACACAGCCTACATCAACTGAGGATTCCAAAACTTCATTCAAAGTAAACCTTAAATCAAAAGCCATGACTCCATCTTTCAACTCTACTTACATCAATGGGGTTGTCATTCCTGAGGGTAAATATCATACTTCTTTTTTCCTCCACTCCCATGGTGCCAAAATCAAATTGACCTTTGAACTTTTCAGGTCTATGTGGAATAACCTGAAATGTTTGACTCAAATATACAAGTGTAAATAATAAGGTATATCACTGAACTAATGATGAAAATTCAAATTTGACCCCTCCCATCACTAACTTTCCTTTTTTGACCATTACATACATACCGTAAGAAGCCCATTGTAAACAATAATAGGAATTGTAAAAGTTGAAGCATTGGTATGTAGTGTTATGTAAGTTGTAAAATGGAGCTGCGTTTCGTTGGGATGAAACTGGAGATAAAACGGTGTAGAAGTCTTCCTCGGCTTCAGCATAAAAGGAGAAGTAAAATTAAGAATCTACAAAAGATAGCAGAAAAACATTAATTTGTATTGAGAAACTTTTGGTTATCAAAAGACCCAAGCAAATTATTATCTTCACCATTATACAGATTATGTAACAACATATGACATAGTTACAAATTTACAGGTGTCTTATCACTTGAAATGTATGGAAAGTAGAGAAAAATGTGACTGGTTTTCTAACTTCCAAGTCAATGTCATCTTAAAGTACAATTTTTCATAAAGACTGCAGTTGTGAAGTTGAACCCTGACAATTATAGAGAAAACAACAGACCTTAGTATACTAGCTACACAAATTAGTTGGACATACACTCATCTGCAATTCACAGAACAGTTTTACCATTAATTCCCATTTTGAGTGTGGTTCCCAGTTGTCTTAACTGAACATTTGGTTCAAATCCAAGAATGAACATATCTCCCTCATAGGAGACAATCTCTCTTTACCACTGCATCATGGTACAACTTATAGAAATAGTTCTGTATACTTAAGAAAAGAAAAGAAAATTGTACACTTACAGAGAAGAAGTGATGGAATTGGCTAGGAATAGAGATGTTGTAGAGAACAACAGAGAAGTTAAAGGTGTTGGTAAAAGTTATCGCTCTAGTGATGTTCCAGATGTCTCTGGCACTAAAAAAGTATGTATTGTTGACGCTGTACACCAAAGACCTACAACAGAGAGAAAATTTACGTCAATAATTTTAATGACATGTCAGTTAACAGAAAAATATTTCAATACACTTTTCAACATCCAGTAGGATAATCACAAGATGGCTTTCAAACTTACACTAGCCATAAATAAATCACTAATAACAAATATATAACATTCTTCATCAAATCTTACATATACAACATGTACATGTTTTTATGTAATGACAAGAGGCCAAAGGGCTTTAACAGTCACCTGAGAATAATACAACCATGACCAGCCTTCAGGGCCACCAACGTATAAAAATCAGCTGAGATTTTCCCAAAACACCATTCTACCAACATTTCTCAGATTTTTTTCTCAGCTGAGTCAGGAAAAACCTTGGTGGCATGTACATTTGAGAGAAATCTCATATTTGAGAAAAAATCTCATATTTGAGAAATAAACTCAGAAGACAAGTCTGAATTTGAGAAAAAAATTACTTGGTGGCACAGTTTGGTGAGAAAAACTCAATATTTCTGAGAAATCTCAGATATGAAAAAATCTTAGCATTGGCAGCTCTGAAGGCTGAGAAAATTCTCAAAAAAGTTAATGCATCTTCACTATATATGTAAATCAATAGAGTCTTGACCTAACACTAGAACGCCTAACCCAGGGACCATGAAATTCATAATTTTTGTTCCTCTTCACCCTTACATGCTATATGCCAAAATAGGTTGAAATTGGTTCAGCAGTTCCAGAGAAGAAGCTGAAAATGTTCAAATGTTAGCGCACAACACACGACAGATGAAAACAGATAGCAATAGGTCACCTTAATGACTCAGGTGACCTGAAAATTTAGCAAACAAAAGATTTTCCAGGAATCAATCATTATGATGTTAAGCTTTGTATTGCAATTCTAATTACTTTCATAGAAAAGCAAAGTGGGACCTGAAACTTATCTTCTGTACATACAATGTTGATGGGAAAACTTACCCATGGAGTACAGCTGCTTTATAAGGAATTGTAATTTTCTGCTGGCCATTCCTGGATTTCACAATTATCTTTCCTGACCACTGTTTTCTATGTAAAGCCTTTTCAGCTTAAAATTACAAAAAGAATATTCACTTAAATCTTGAAAAAAAAGGAGGTGGAACTTAAAATTTATTTTATTTATCTTATTCCAATGTAAAAATGATTTTTAATTTTATTACTGTAAGTTTTATTTTTATATTTTTTAACATTTATTCTATTTCAAATACATGTATTTACAAATGTAGTCAATAAATAATCAGCACTTCAGATAAAACTTATTTATCACACACAAAAACAAGTATTCTAATTACATTATTTCTTACAAAGAACATTTTAAAACTACTGGTATACTACAACTTACCATTGAAAGTAATTCTAGCGACCGATGTGTGTCGTAAAATATCTGGTTGTAATTTTGTAGGACGAAAATCAATACTAATAGCTTCATTTGGAGGTGAAACTGATACACTCTGAAAAAGGAAATATATTTTGTTTTGCTTATCTCAAAATTTTGAAATTTAAATCATTAATATTTTTTTTTAATTGGCAGCCCAGATTTTTAAATTAACAGATGCACATATGCACATACTGTTTCCAAAAATCTTTTTAAAACTTCCTGCTTAAAGATTATATCCAAATTGTAAGCTGTTTGCATCACAATAAACAGGAGGCAATGAATACTCAGTAAACTTTTTATTGTGGCTCTCAACTTAATATTTTCAAAAATTCAAATCCATAAATACTGATTACACTAAGTTAACGGTAACCACCTTCATATTGCAATTTATTTACATGTATCTTGTGTCTAAACTCTAACCATAGTTTCACAGTCCTAAAGAAAAGTTTTCAAGATTCTTATTTTCATGAGTAAAAATTCGACCAATTAACACGTTCCAGCTGCTCCTATACTCCTATTGTAATGATTTTTTAAAAAAAAAAGGAACTATACCACATAGAGGTGCATGTATGGCTAATTTGTTCTTGTAACATTTATTACTTGTAGTGCATAAGAAATTTAAATGACCTTTTCAAATGTTTACCAATTTCCCTCTGGAACAAATTTGAACAGATCTGAACTCCCTTTACATAGAAATAATTCTGTTTGAATATGATTTAAATTAGCTACCAGTTTTGGAGAATTAAAATTTGAAAAGTTAACAAATGTCAGATAAGAGACAGATGAATATAGTTTGATCAGGAAAACTCACTTGAGCACTTGGCTCTGGTGAGGTTAAAAATAAAACAACAAACTTTTGCTGCTTTGATAACAAATCATTACAAACTAATATTCCCATCATTAAAATATAAATGATAATTGAATCTTATTGAGTCTCTTTTATTCAGATGCTTACTGAAATATGAATGGGCTTAAATCCAGTGTTGACAAGGTTAAGATTAACTGTTACAGGGTCGTCAAGTGTTCTCATTATTCCAAAATCTATCATCTCCGCTGGGGAATACAGACCAGGAACTGAAATATAGAGAGTGCTTGAGTGAATCCACTTCAAGTCAAGCACCAGTAGAGAGTGCCTCCCTTTCTTGTATTTCACCAAAAGCATACACTATTATACATCTATGTCAAATATGCATATCTTACATGTACATAATAACTGCCATTAATAGACCTCACCTGAACTAACTTCCACTTCAACAGGTAAAATAACTAAATTGTTCGTCTGCTCTTGGTTTGTTTTTATTCGGATGAAGGCAGTATGGTTATTTTCCACCCTCCCTACAAAATTTGCCTTCATAACAGTTTTGGTCTCGTAGGGAGGGATCTCCTAAAAGGGAAATAAATGTTGTATACTTTCTGAAAACAAACTGCATTTGTAAGAAGATTTGGTTAACGATGTCATAATCAATATCCTCATCAGAATAACTATGCATGAATTTAAACCTTACTTTGAAAGTCAGTGCTACACTTCAAAAAAGACCTGAAATGGAGCATAAACAGCACAACTTACCCATAAACTCCTGGGGGCCTCTAAATCCCCTGAAGGTAATTCTAAATGTAAATCTCCTTCACTAGAAAACATTTCTGTCACCTGAAAAAAAAATCACACACTCTAATATGGCTTGTACGAAACTCATCACTTCTGCTGTATATGGACTTTTCTCTTGACTTCAACAAAAAGGCCAGAAACTTCTGAATTTTACCATCAAAATTTTTTCATATCAACAACATACTACTTACCAGTACAAGAACATTTTCAGTAATTTCTGGATATGCAATTTTTCATATAAATGATTCCTAAAATTAATTCAAAATTGCATCCTCATATAATACACTCAGATTATTTTACCTGAGTTAAGCCCTTACCTGCAACGTTGAGCTGAAGGGATTATGTATTTTTATAATGGGAGAAAAACTGCTATTTAGTGGAACTTTTGCTCCTAAATATGGCCTCAGTCTATATGGATTAGGTATTCCCACTCCAAAAACCTGCAAAAGTTTTTATTTTGATTATAATAATCATTTTTCACATTCAGTGGGAACATAAAAAGAAGCCAAAAGGTCTCATATTAGTAAATTTGTCTCATATTAGTAAATTTAAAATCATGAGTTTATAATTCGATTTTACTTTGAATAAAATGCTATAAAACTTACATTATAAGAAAAAGACCCCACAGAGGTATGGATATATAAAGTATTTTCTACATTTCCCTCCTCTCGGGCTAAAAATACTACATCAAATGTTGTATTGCCACCAGGCGGAACAATCTAAAGAGAAAACACAGTATTGATATCACATGTGGTAATAATTCAACACTTCAAACTTATATCCTTCATAACAAAATGTTCAGGAAAGCATATATGGTTGAAAAAGTTTCAGAGTTTATTTACATGGGTGTTCCTGATGCTTTGAATGACAGTTTAAAGAATATTATCTCCCCATCTGAACCAGCCGAGATTCTCCAAATCAAAAAAAAAAATTTTAATTGTCCAATAATCATATGAAATACATGTCAAGATAATCAAGGATTACTTGCTATAGTTCAGATCAGTTTGTATTATTAATTCTACAATACAGAATATCAATTTTCAGAGGAGAACTTACTTTTTCTTGAAAAAATGAGCAGTGGAAATGAACTGTACTGCCCGATATGGAGAGCAGGTGTAAATCATTTCTACTGTCTGTATTGTGAACAACAACTTGTTCCATAAATGGCATTCCAACTGGTCTGAAAAATGATAAAAAAGTTTGTACAAAACAGTACCTGACCATTAATTAATTTTTCAACATGCAAATATATTAACATTTACTTTGGGGGTTTTTTTCTACGCCAAGTATGAAATTGATTTGAAAGCCACTTTCATGTATAGTTACAAGTAGAAATATACATGTACATCGAGACATGCATGTTCTTGTGATATCACAATGACACAATGGGAATGTAATACAAATACGATATAGGGCAGCAAAAAATTTAAATACTGAGTGTACTTTTGTTGATTTTAAAACTTTAAAATGTAAATACAGTCAAACCTTGTTATCTTGAACTCGAAGGGACTGAGAAAAAACTTCGACATATCCAAGGATTTGAGATATCGGGGGTAAAAAAAACTTAAGGAATAAGTGGTTGAGACTTACAAATCACTTCGACATATCCATGGTATTCAAGATATCAGTGTTCGCAACACCAAAGTTCAACTGTATAAGGAATGTTTTTCAGTGTGTGAATGTTATTGGTGTGTAAATCACACCGACTTGCATGTAGGCATACTTTTCATGAAGTGCTAGTAACCTCATGAAATATGCCTATGCAACAAGTCTTTGTGATTTACACACCAATAACACTCACAAAACTAAACAAAAATTCCTTAAATAAAACCCTAACACGTTGCAACATTACTATAAAACCCTACCATGAAATAACATTTTATTCTTCCTTGAGCATTCCTTTTGTACTTCACATTAATATATTGCTTTTAAATATCAAAGAAGAAAGTTTTTGAACTTTGAACTATTTGAATGTTAGACAACAATGACAGTTAAATGCACTGTCTAAAGATAAAATCTAAGTCAACATATGAAATTACATAAAAGACAAACAGAATCATACAAGTAAATATGATATATAATGTAATGTACGTCTGATAAGAAAAACACCTGTAGAATTTGAATTATCCATATTACCTACCTTTCTTGGAAATCTAGCCATGGTGGGTCTAACCTAACAGAATTTTTATAAATAATATTTTCAGCACTGCAAATAAAAAGAATTAACAAATTAATTTATACATAATACTGTAAATAATGAACTTTTAAATGATTAAGATCTGATCATAATAATTTCATCAAAATATTATTTCAAGCATAAACATCTTTATATATTTTTTTTTCATTTTCTATGCTGAAGTGTCAGTGGCTCCTACCTATATGTATGACCTGGATTAACCTGTAAGAAGAAAGAAAAGAAATATAATTTTAATTAATCTGTATTACTTTACTGTTCATGTAAAATTTACAGCATAAATAATTTTTTTACTTTTTAATTCTGTATTCAATGAATCTCATACTTCTACTTAAGGGTGCTTACAAAATAAGCAAACATTAATTTCATCAAAATCATTTTGGAATTCTTAATTCTTTTTACAAAACTAAATTGACAAAATAACATTGGTCTTGAAAGTAGACTGGTCAAATACAGGAATGTTACAATTTATTTGGTTTACTACAAATTAAGAACTTGAGACTTCAACCCACTTCTAAAGGTATTCCATTAATATCTCTTCCATCTCCTATGTACGTAAGGTGGTTGTCTGTTTGTACAAATGCTAAAAGGGAAAACAAAATAAACAAATGACCCAAAAAACAATAACATGAACTATACTTCTTAATTTCCTTTGTACAGAACCAATTTCCATGAGGGTGAGCCTTTTTTTAAAAGGATCAGTAATTTTGATGCTTTCTGATTAGGGAAGGCAACTTTCCTAAAATGTACCTCAGAGTGAGTTCAGAGATGTACATTAGAGTGAGTTCTGAGATATAGAGTGGGTTCTGAGATATAGAGTGGGTTCTGAGATATAGAGTGGGTTCTGAGATGTAGAGTGAGTTCTGAGATGTACATTAGAGTGAGTTCTGAGATATAGAGTGGGTTCTGAGATATAGAGTGGGTTCTGAGATATAGAGTGGGTTCTGAGATGTAGAGTGAGTTCTGAGATGTAGAGTGAGTTCTGAGATATAGAGTGGGTTCTGAGATGTAGAGTGAGTTCTGAGACATAGAGTGAGTTCTGAGATGTACCTCAAAGTGAGTTCAGTGATATACCTCATTGGGTTAGAATGAGTTCTGAGACATACAACAGAAGGAGTTTACCCAATATGAAGCAATCATGACTGTAGGCTGAAGTGATCATAAAATTGTTGATGTGTCTATTGTTTAACAATGAGAATATCAAGCCTCTTTTTAACTTTTACTTGTTGAGGAATCTTGACATTTAATAACTCCTTTATCTATACTTTATTTGGTAACACATACTTATAGCAAAGTGATAGGGATGAACAATTTTGATTGTTATAAATGTAATTCATTATATCTTATAAGTTCATACATGTAGTGCATTTTTAAACTGTATATTGTTTATTAACAACATTTAATGAGAAACAAAGTTCACTTATTTTCCCTAAAAGGGTGGCTGATTGTGTCGTTTTTCCCGAAGAATTCTGTTGTTTTTTTCCAAACACAGAAAAGACCAAGATAAGGATTTCTAATTGTGAAACCAGAATTGTTTACTTCCAGAAAGTATATGATATCAGAAAAATGTTCAGGGTTGGCTCATATATAATTTAGGATTGGTTGGGGCCCTGGTATCTAAAATATCTAACGTTTCCGAGGCTTTTTTCACGATTTTGATATTTTATAAGCCAGGAAAATGTCAGAACCAGCGCCATTACGAAAACTGGAAATTTTGCCGCCTCCAATCAGAGTTGATTGTCAATACCTGGGAACCGAATTAAATGCCGTTTTCACAATTTATCAATAGCACAATGCTTCTAGTACTCAACAATATTTGTGAAAAGAAAACATCACTCATCATTTCGATACAGGACTTGAAAGATTTTAAAATGCACGAAGTGAAAACAAATCTCGACAGTCAAATAAAATGTTCTCATCGGATTGTACATTTTATAAACAAACCGTAAAAACGATGTTGGTGAGTACTAAAAGCATTGTACTATTGATAAATTGTCAGTTTGACATTTCATTCGCTTTACAAGTATCAAAAATCAACCCGAGAATGCCGCCTCTGGTTGGAGGGGGTGAATTCCCAGTTTTCGTAATGGCACCAGTTCCGACATTTACCTGGCACGTAAAATATAAGAATAGTAAAAAAGCCAGGAAAACATCAGATATTTTGGACTAGGGCCCTGGAAACAAACAATTTATCTATCTATGCCTTACCTAAACTTAAAAGGTCTATTTCAGATTTCTACTGAAAAATTTGAATGCTGCCACATTGAAATGAATAATAACACTGATGTTTAAATAATTTTTTTAAAATTAATTCTATTCTTTTATGTCCTTTTTGTGCTCACTCTCTCTGCATTTTCTTTGTAATACTTTGAATTTGATTTATGTCATTCTGATTTGTGAGGTGGTTATGAGAATAAAGAAACTTGAGTGTAATCTTTAAGTTAACAGTGGTTATCAGACATTAATCATGAATATTACCATTTTTATACTGTAATTATTTCCCTCTGGTTACATGTGATTACATTACAAGCAAAATGTAATGGATTGCAAATGATTACAATCGTGATTCTGAGTTAACACCTCTATGTAAAACAGTCCATTGATATCCTGTAATGCTACAAACATTATTTATATAATGTCAATTCTAAAGAAAATAAATACTGTAAAAAAAATTATTCCTTTCTCCTAAAAACATTCATATTGAAAAACTGAAGAACAATAATATGGACTTTGTACATTTCAAAAAAAAAGTTCCCTTAGATTTAATCAATTGGATAAAAATGTCTTTATTTATGTGAAATGTTGCAATTTGTTTTCATATAGACTGATGTAGGGTAAATGTTATTTTGTTGATAAACATTGGGTACAATAAGACAACAAACACGAGACAGAAAGTCACAAAGATTTTGTCTGTGAATTTGATATTTCCACAGAAATAATAACTTCTCACCTTGACTGTGGCTTTCTACTGCTATTGTGTGAAGAAAGCATTGTGTGAAACTTTGAATTAATAACACAAAATGTAAACATTCTACTGACATCTTTCTTCGATCATGACATTTCACTCGCGCCATATTGTTTCCACTTTACCCAACGATTTGCGTATTTCTCTAAATATATTATCACATCATCACACTTATTTGATTAGGTGCATTGCAAAGTAAAGTTTCATTATATATTTATCTATTTACGTTATGCTTTTTGTTTACATTAAAGTATAATTTGCACAAATACATTACTTTGCTTTACGAAACTAAGCAGTTAGCTTTTATTGTTTTGGGAAAAATTGAAGAACGATGATTGGATGTATCTTGGTTACCCTTTTTAATTCATTTCCGGTATTTACTCCCGTTCCTTTGACTTGTGTATGTGTAGAGTGTTTCTATATATATATTTGTATAATTGCTATCTTATAAATCATTTAGCTTTGTCATTTACAAGTACTTTCCACAACCACCTGTCTTGTCAAAAATGCAATCGATTTTCTATTCGTTGAAAAGAAATTAGCAACCAATGAAAATATGACAAATATCACATCTGAATATTGCCCAGACACTGCATCAGCTGATTTAACAAAGTCTTTGGGTGTCATATTTTTATAATTTTTTTTTAAACAAATACAGTATTGGCAAATACACAGGTTTCTGAAGGCTCCCAATAAAGATCACACGTTTTTATGGGTGGATCTAATCATCCTCTCTTTAAATAAATTGTATTAAGATGAGTTTATTAATATTTCAGTCAGTCGCTGCTTTTCAAAGTGATACAAATGCTGAGTGAATGGTTTCAAAATGCATGGTCAGCCCTGTTTTTCTTCTTAATACGCCCCATGTGGAAGTGGGTTCTTCGCAGAGTAACAGGAAAATGTGAACTTCTGCGGATCACATATGAGGAAAGAAAGGGGGCTAAAAGAACTTTAAGGATAGGTAAAACAAAGTTATATATAATACAGATATTAGAATCAATATATTTAAAGTGTGATTCAATTCATTTAACTTAGAAATGTTCATGTTTAAGCATGCTTGACCCAAAGCTAAAGTGAATATTTTTTTTATCAAATTTTTATCTCAACTATCCCAGCTTCTGTTTGTGGAATTGTGCGTTTGTAAAAGTATTAATTCTGTAGAGCTGAAAGACTTATGGGTCCTTTTATTTTAGTATCAAACCATCCCCTTTTCTACATGTAAAAAATGTAAGTTCATTACTCCCTGGGAATTGTGCTACAGCAGTGAATCAAACTTTTATGAAGAAATTATGTCTTGAGAAAATTCTCTCAAAGATGTTATTTGTTATGTAGTTTAAGAAAGTATTTTTTTTTTTAAAAATCAGTAGAAAAAAAATTAAGATTGTTAATTCTGCTTACTCTTTCCCATATCGAAAATGAATACAAAAATAATACAAGAAAAAAATACTAAAATAATACAAAAAAAGTATATTTTTAATGACCAAATTTGGAACCCTCTAAATCTTGGTTCCAATTTAGGTCAAAAATAATAGACTTTTTAAAAGCCAAACACAGAAAAATATATTTTTAATATACTTTATTTTTTCGAAATAATACAGAAATGATACACACGACCTGTAAAAACGTATTGTTTTTGTACTTTTGTATTATTTCTCTATTTTCCTCTCCAAAGTATAAAAATAATACAGTCCATAGAAAAGTATAGAAAAAATACAGAATGTATTTATTTTGTATTAGCATATATTATTTTTGTATTTTTTCACCTTTAAGAATTAAAATACAAAAAAAATATAGAATATATTAATTTTGTATCACATATATTATTTTTGTATTTTTTCATGTGGAACAATTAAAAGTACAAAAAAGATATAAAATATGAAAATAATACAGTACACAAAAAAGTATGAAAAAAGTATAGAATGTATTAATTTTGTATTAATATGTATTGTTTTTGTATTTTTATCAGCATGAAGGATTGTACTTCAAAAATATCAAAAAAGTACAAGAATGATAGACAAAAAATACATTTAAATGCTTAAAATAATACAAAACAGAGTTTTAAAAACTACAAAAATGATCATGGGCAAAAATTGTTATTTGAAGAAAAGGGGCTGGAGATTGAGGTTCTTAATAGCATCTATTGATTGTTATTCAAAAATCTTTTATTTATTTGAAATATTTGTTAAATAACAATTTTAGTAACTCAGTCAGATTACCTTAAATGTACAAATAGCTAATTAAAAAGTAATTAATGTGGCCAGGCTACTGATTCAGCTACCAATTGTAGTCTTGATCTTTCTTTTTACATATAATCTGCTCTTCAATAGTCTTGATATTTTTCACAAGTTTAACTAATCCTGTTTTCTTTGTACTTTTACCAAATGTTTCGATCTTCCCTCTGCTTTGCTGTTTCTTTTGTATGGAAAAGGTAGAGGAGTGTTTACTTTGTTGCAGAAGTCCATCTTCAAATCACACAACCTGTCATCTCATCTGACTTCATCACTGTGAAATATAGAACAGAATGATATAATAATAAAATTTAATGAACCATTACCTCAACAAAACACACATTTTCACATCCAAAATAATTCTATATAGATTTTGTTTAGCTCACACACCTGCAATACTTTCTTGAGAGGGATCTTCTTCCTCCATGTCTAATCAGCTTTTCTTCAATGTTCTGCTGACTAAAATTAACAATAATTATAAATTGAAATTCCAAAAGATCCAGCGGAGTTCACCAAATTCCATACAATTGTACAATTGAAATTACTTTTCTTTAATCTGGGGTTTCTTAGGGGACAACCATTTGATTTGACAATCTGGAGAAGAAAAAGGGGGGGGGGGCTGATTTATAAAATATTTTTAAAAAAATATTTGTAATAAACAATCTGTCCTTGAAAATGTTGAAAGAGTAAACAAAATGTGTGCCCCAATGTTATTCAAATAAACTGCCCCCCCCCCCCCCAACCCAACCTACCCCCCCCCCCCCTCGAAAAAATTTGAGTTTATACAAATTACAGAATTGTTTTTGAAGGGAAAATAAATAATTCGTCTCTGGTAAACTTGAAAAAATTGGAATGAATTAGAACTAGGAAGCCAAAGCCTTGACAATTATCCCCATCTTCCACCCCTCCCTCCCCAATCAGAATTTATCACAAAAACCCTTGTTCCCCACATGGCCAATAACCGTACTATTTTATCTTTCTACAATACTACAAAATGGGTAAAAAGGCATTCTTTGTTCCTCTATCTTTGTACTAAGTTATTATTTAAAAAATTGAAACTTTAATGTGCTAAAATATACATAATCTTACCGCAACTAGTGTTGTTTACACCAGAAAAGTCCGGATATGATGCCTAAAAAACGTCAGTCTCCTTATGTATTTGCTTTCCTTGGTTCATATATATGATCCTGTGTACCATGATTATGCTGAACTTCTGTTTTTCGATCCATTTTACTAGCGAGCAAATGAGAGTTTATTCAAAATCACCCCCAGCTTTCTCAACACGTCCCGGGAAGAATTTTCAAAATGGCGTGGGTGAAATATTGTTGACCAATCAGAGAACAGTACGGAAGAGTTTTAAAATCTGACCAATCATATTGTGTCATATATACGAAAATTACCGATGTTGAGATCGGAACAGTTAGAGAAAACATATTTACATGGTTTTAAATATCTTGAATCAATTGAACAAACCTAAAATTATGTTAGAAAAAAACGATGTTCAATTTAATCATCAGAATCATTTTTTTATTCCTTACGGAATTTACCGATTACGAAACATCGTTATTTCCGGTCATCATTTCCGCTGCGAGCAGCCATTTTTATATTCAAGTTGACCTGTGAAGTAGACCATAAAGTTCAAATATAATGATCAAAACGAGCGGGAGATCCATAATATATAGCCTTTTTGACGGACAACTTAACTCATACATACGGTACCAGAGATTGAAATAATGTTTAACATCTATCCTTTACACCAATTTCACAACATTTTCTATATTATTTTATGATATTCTTTCGTAATAATTTCTTATTTAATTTTTTTTTTTAAAAGCGGATAATTAAATAGTTCTATTCCATGTCATTGTAATACGTACTGAATTAAATATAATGTATACTAAATTGAGTTGTATAGTCAAGAAAACATCGTAGGTACTGTAATTAGTGCACAGTGGAACTCTCCATGTTGTTTGTTTTTGTTTTTTGTTTTGGTTGGGATGTGTTTTCACAGGTAAATCATGTTATTTCTTTGAGTAGTATAACATGTACTCATCTATTGTTAACCTGCAGGTGGCCACCTGTGCTGTTGGCGATAGTTGTAAACACTCGGTTGTAAACACGCTGTAAAATTTTCAACACAAAAAGAAAGTCTGAAACTCTGAAACTTCAAAATTTACGGCGTGTTTACAAGTATCATGTACAGCACATGTGTCCCCTTAGACGTATCTATCTCTTTCCAAATGACAATTTCACACCTAGTAAAGACATGTTTTAAAAATGAAATTGTTTAGTTAACAAATTTAAACTACTGAAGTTTTCTGTTCTAAATAGCAATTAAATGTAAATAGTATAAAAGCAACCTTTATAGCAGTGGTCTTAATTAATAAAATCTGAGAAAAAATATTAATTCCAACAGACTTATTGCAAGGACATTCTGTAAATTTTCCTATGTTCAAAGAAATACAAATTTCAGTAAAAGAAAACACTAAGTCCAAAATAAATATAAAAAAAATACATGCTGACTGTATAGTATTTTTTGAAAAATTATTAAGTCCAAATTTAATACAAAAATAATACAGACTAACTGTATGTAATTTTCTGTAAAATTACTAAGTTCAATTTTAATACAAAAATAATACAGATTAACTGTATGTAATTTTCTGTAAAATTACTAAGTTCAATTTTAATACAGAAAAAATACACTTGAAAAAAACTAAGTCCACAAAAATACAAAAATGATATACTGAAAATAATCTAAGTCCCAAAAAATACAAAAATAATACCCTGTAAAAAATCAAAGTCAGATTTTAATACAAAAATAATCTACCTATTTGTTGGTGATACAAAAATAATATATTTTTTCTGTATTAATTTTAAACAATACAAAAATGATTGTATTAAAAATATATTAAAAATATACTTTTATGTATTATTTTTTGATATGGGTTTGCCTGATTGATTTTGAGACCCGAAAAATGAAGGGAAAAAAGCAATGTTCAACCAACTGGTTAATGTAGTATACATGTCCAACAACTGTTTGAAGCAGGTTTGGTTTAAAATGATTGAATATACTGGTTATAAATTTCCTCAATAACAATGGGTCTTAAATAAAGTTTATATATAGTAAAAAGTCGTAGCAATATATCCTTTGAGAACTCTTGACATTGTATCCCTTATCAAAGTTATAGGAAACAGCTGGATTTTTTTCTTTACTTAACATTTTTATTAGTATCAGTTTTTTTTTCATCATGAATAAGATGAATGTTATGATCCACAGGCCTCTTGTTTTCTTTTATATAATGTAGAGAGAAGTCTGAAATTGTCAAATGTTACATACCTACATCAACTCAGCAAAGATGAAGATGTTGATATCATTGCAGCAGTGGGCGAGGTGATGAAAGTTAAGCAGATTATTCCAGAGGTTCACATGAAGTAAGGAGGAAGAGGAATTGATCAAATCAAATTTAATAGATAACTGAAAAAAATGTATTTCTATTTGACTGTAACTTAGATGACAATAACATACTGTAAAAGTGGTTATTTACGCGTGGGGGAAATTTACACTACTTATGCGGTAAGCTAAGAACTGCGTAAATTACCCCCGCACGTATGGTCACAAAATTTCAAACTTCTGGAATAATTATAGATTATTACTTAAACTGTTAGACCGGTTGAACCAGTCGTATATTAATCATGGTATTGAACGCACGTGAGTAGATAAATACATCACAAACAGCGATGACAACATAACTGTTCATTTTTTTAATTGTGCGATGAAAAATGCATCTTCGTATTAGATATTTAAAAGCAACGTCACGCAATGAAAGCTTCAAAACTTCGATACTCATTTTCATTTCCTTTATATATTCGTGTATGTCTCTCTTAATTTCAAATAATTAGTCCAAAATGTTACATAAACTCAAAGTCACTACAAACATACCAATTAAATTAATTGTCAACACTCGACACGCAGATACAGGTAAGTATATCCCACTTTGAACTTGCGTAAATAATTGCAATAAAGCGTACACAAGTTGTTCACACTTTAGCGCATTTGATTGTGCACATCGACGTTATATTTACCAATCCAACAGTATAAATTTTTATTGATTTGTTTAGTTTTTAATCATTTTTAATCTTTTTTCTTATCATTTTCAAAGGGGAACAACTCGATGTTAGTAACGATGGCCGCGTAAATTTTTCTCGGTAACTCGTGCGACCGTGTATATTACAACCACGCGTAATGTTTGATGGTCATAAACGCGTACTTAACAACCAGTGTAAATAACCACTTTTACAGTACTTGAGTTTGTCTTATCAAAATTACAATGCATGGGTAAAAAATCAAGACAGTAAAAATGGTAAATTATTCTCCATACTTTGTACTGAATCTTAATATTTTGTGCAGTTCCTTTTAAACATACTTTTAAATTTTTTCATTCCGACTTTTTTTTTAATAGTGTTGATTATAAATTGTAATTTTCAGATTTAGAGGTGATTTGCAGGACTGCTTGTGCCAAATATGCGGATATAAAAGATTAAAGAGGGAGGTAGAAATGATGAGAAAAACATCATATTCACAAGAAAACTCGGAACATGAAGAAAAATTAATGCAGGTACAAGTGTTGTAAAGTTAACTCTCTTAAAGCATACATAATAAACACTGCATTGAAATGTAATTTTTAAAGTTTCCTCATGATTCTAAATTACCTGTTCCTTAAAATTAAATTTTCATGCGGTTAACATTAATTTTAATGAAATCATTGATACAGTTTTCAAGGTTTATTTGTTTGTCCATCAGTCTAGCTGTATGTCCATCCATTACGTATTGGGGTACCGATCTCTTAAAGCATACATAATAAACACTGCATTGAAATGTAATATTTAAAGTTTCCTCATGATTCTAAATTACCTGTTCCTTAAAATTAAATTTTCATGCGGTTAACATTAATTTTAATGAAATCATTGATACAGTTTTCAAGGTTTATTTGTCTGTCCATCAGTCTAGCTGTATGTCCATCCATTACATATTGGGGTACCCATCTCTTACCCGCAACTCCTCTTAGACCAATGAATAAATTTTAATGAGACTTTCACAGAATCTTTGTTACACAGTGCAATTGTGATCTCCTATTTCAGTTTTTAATCGACCACCCATAGGTGTCCTATAGCAAAATATAGACACTGCCATTCTTTTTATAAAATCAGGGTATCCACCTCTTATCTGCAACTCCTCCTTTACTGTACTATTCAACTACATTAAGTTTAAGAATTAGGTTTATATATGGGAATCTAAAGCATCTTTTTGATTTGACGATCGTCCTCTCAGGGAACAAAATGTTAACTATATGTAGAGTGCATTTTCCAGTATAGGGTAAGTACTCCAGTAAATATGATATCCAAAATTATGCTGTATTTTCATGAGATCTGCAAAGCAAAGTGGTTCTAAGAGACTAAATTGTTCCTCATCTGTATCATGCTTAATATATCTTTGAACAGTAAGAGAAGGGTTTTTTGTTAGCTCACCTGAGCCAAAGGCTCAAGTGAGCTTTTCTGATCAAAATTTGTCCGTTGCCTGTCGGCGTCGTCAGCGTCGTTGTTGTCGTAAACTTTTCACATTTTCATCTTCTTCTCCAGAACTACTGGGCCAATTTCAATCAAACTTGGCACAAAGTATCCTTGGGTGAAGGGGTTTCAAGTTTGTTCAAATGAAGGGCCACGCCCTCCTCCAAGGGGAGATAATTACGGAATAGCAAAAAATTAATGGCATTATTCAAAAATCTTCTTCTCAAGAACCAGTGGGCCAGGAAAGATGAAACTCATGTGGAACTATTGTCAGGTAGTGTAGATTCAAGTTTGTTCAAATCATGACCCCCGGGGATAGGGTGGGGCCACAATGGACGATCAAAGTTTTACATAGGAATATATAGGAAAAATCTTCAAAAATCTTCTTCTCAAGAACAGCAAAGCTATGATTGGTCATATTTATTTGGAAGCATCCTCAGGTGGTGTAGATTCAAGTTTGTACAAATCATGACCCCTGGGGGTAGGGTGGGGCCACATTGGACGATCAAAGTTTTACATAGGAATATATAGGAAAAATCTTCAAAAATCTTCTTCTCAAGAACAGCAAAGCTATGATTGGTCATATTTATACGGAAGCATCCTCAGGTGGTGTAGATTCAAGTTTGTTCAAATCATGACCCCCGGGGGTAGGGTGGGGCCAAAATGGACGATCAATGTTTAACATAGGTGTACATAGGAAAAATCTTCAATAATCTTCTTCTCAAGAACAGCAAAGCTATGATTGGTCATATTTACATGGAAGCATCCTCAGGTGGTGTAGATTCAAGTTTGTACAAATCATGACCCCTGGGGGTTGGGTGGGGCCACAATGGACGATCAAAGTTTTACATAGGAATATATAGGAAAAATCTTCAAAAATCTTCTTCTCAAGAACAGCAAAGCTATGATTGGTCATATTTATGTGGAAGCATCCTCAGGTGGTGTAGATTCAAGTTTGTACAAATCATGACCCCCGGGGGTAGGGTGGGGCCACATTGGACGATCAAAGTTTTACATAGGAATATATAGGAAAAATCTTTAAAAATCTCAAGAACAGCAAAGCCACGGTTTGTCATATTTATGTGGAAGCATCCTCAGATAGTGTAGATTCAAGTTTGTTCAAATCAAAATCATGACCCCCCCCCCTCCACTCCCTTTTTAGGAATAGGTTGAGACCACTTATGCATTTTAGCTTTTCAATACTAAACTGATTTTTCCTTTTTTCCTAGCCACAGTGCTCAGGTGAGCGATGTGGCCCTTGGGCCTCTTGTTTGATATGGGGAGTACTTGTCATAAGTGATTAGCTCATCGTGAGAAAGTCGAGGTGAGCTTATGCTATACCCTTGGCGTCAGTGTCTTTGTTAGCATCCTATTTTAAGCTTTCAGAGCAAGTCCATTCCCAAGTAACTACAAGCCCTACCTGAACCAAACTTGCATGGATGATGCAACTAGAGATGAACATTACCAGATTTGCTTCGGATGTTGGATCTGACTTACATTTTCCTGATGAGTGACCCAGTTAAAGTTTTTGGAGCAAGTCCATTCCCAACTAACTAAAAGCTCTACCCAACCAAGATTCAAGGGATGATGCATCTAGGGATGCACACTGCCAGACTCACTTAGGATGCTGGATCTGACCTGTGTTTTCCATATGAGCGACTACTGTAGATTCCTAAATATATACGAGGAATAAATTATCGCGTAATTTTGCGAGAAACGCCCCTCGCAAAATAAAATTACAACGTACTCGCTTTTATTTTCATTGTGCTAAAATCCATGTAAAATCTCTTGGTCAACCGTCCACTCGCGAATTATTGTTCTTGCGATTTGACGTTAAAACGCCATTTCGCGATAATAAGTACTCGCGAAAAATAAGGAATCTACAGTATATAGTGCCTACCTGAACCAAACTAGCATGGAATTTGTATCTAGGGATAGACAGTATTAGACTTGGATCTGATGCTAAGTCTGACCTACATTTTCTGGTTGAGTGACCAGGTTAAAGTTCATGGAGTAGGTCCAATCCCTAGTTACTGTAAGCCCTACCTGGACCAAACTTGAGGGATGATGCATCTAGGCATGCACACTACCAGACTTGCTACTGTTGCTGGATCTGACGTACATTTTCCAGATGAGTCACTAGCGTAAGATTTTGGAGTAGCTCTGTCCCCAAGTAACTATAGGACCTATCTGATCCAAATTGCATGGATATTGTACTGGAGATGCACACTAACTAGAAGAAATTTGATGCGAGATTTGCTTTACTGCTAGATAACATTCATCAAGGTGAGCTTCATAAGCTTTGATTACCTCCGTTTTTTCAAAAAGTAAATGTATATAAATGAAGTACATGACCTTAATCTTTGACCTGCTAACCTTTTTAGGGATCATGTAGTTTAACTTTCCATCTGGAATGAATCGCAAAAAAGCTATATCATGATTTTTTTTATTTTAAGATTTTATCATCTAGCCATTCTATAATGCCATAATTTCAGAAGATGCCCAAGTAACTAATAGCCTTACTTGGACCAAACTTGCATGCATTATGTTTCTAAGGATGTACACTAGCATAATTGCTAAAGATGCTATATCTGACCTACATTTTCTGGATGAGAGACCATGGCAGGTAATTTTTGGAGCAAGTCCATTCCAAAGTAACTATAAGCTCTATTGTGACCAAACTTGCTTGGGTGATGCAGCTAGGGATGTACACTACCAGACATGCTTTGGATGCTGTATCTGACCTACATTATCCAGATGAGTGACCCGCTCAAGTTTTTTGAGCAAATACATTCCCAAGAAACTAAAAGCCCTATGGTGACCAAATTTTTCTTGAGTGAATGATGCATCTAGGGATACACACTACCGGACATCCTTCGGATGCTGAATCTGTCCTACATTTTCCAAATTATAAAACAGATTAAAGTTTAAGGAGTTAGTCCTTTCTCAAGTAACAAATAGCCCTATGTTGACAAAACTTGCATGGGAGATGCATTCGAGGGACACCTTATTTGTTTAGAAAAAACTATTAAAGGCAGGGTTTGCTATTAAGAAGGGAGATTACTTCTTTTACCTTTCAAACTGTGCTCCTGCAATGACCTGCAATGCTCCTGCTATTTCTAAAAAAATGGAATTGATGTTGAATGTTATATTTGCTACTAGTCCTTTTGAATGTACAAAAGTACTAAAATACTTTCCACCTTGTGAACTTGATTTTGACATAGTTTAAGCAAGTAAACTGCCATTATATTCTTATTTATAAATATATAGGGGCTGGCTGTCCACCTATTGACTTTAAATTTACAGAGAAAAAATGAATAACAAAAATGCACTGCATATACCATTTAATAGGAGGCCTATTATATTAAGCATGATTGTTCTTCAAGAAATAAAAATGATGATAATATTTTTTTGACAGTTACATGTTTTGATATAGGTATTATAGGTATCTGTGATTTTTTTGTCCAACCCAATCACTGACAAAATAGATTCCAGCCTGACTTTAAATAGGCCACCTTGTTACTTTAATATACTGTAAACCAACTATTATTTGCGTCAACTTTTATTCACGATTGGTCGGTTCGAAATCAATCTGCGATGATTAATTTTTGCAACTGAGGAAACATTCTCTACAAATACAAAGCAAAATAAATGGTTCACGACGATAAATATTCACGAGTTAAAGTAGGTCACGAAACTTGCGAATATTTCTCGCATGCGAATGAAAGTTGGTTTACAGTACCTTTTACCATGTACTGTCACAGGTGACAAATATTTCTTGAAACAATCTAGTAGGTCTGAATTATTGCAGTTATGGAAAATCTTGATGCCAGATGAGAAGTTAGAGTCCAGAAAATCCAAACAATGGTCAACCATAGGATTCCAAGGAGAGGATCCAATGACAGATTTTAGAGGCATGGGTATATTGGGACTCAACCAGTTGTTGTAAGTAACTTTTTAATGCAGAAACGATACATGTTTGTAAATGTGAAATATTGATAACAAAAGTTTTCATGGAAAGAATGATAAGGTAGACCTGAATCTTACTTCACAAAATAAAAAAAAATCATTTTTTGCTGAGTAAATGTACCCTTGGTAATATATTTTTCAGTTTCTCCATAAAATTTAATGTAAGCACTTTAACCATTTTTTTGCTTCTTTGTGTTCTGTGTTGCAAGATTAGAGTCTCCAGCCTATGCACTGATATTGATATTCCAAAATTTCATAGCTTCCTCAGAATTTTTTTTTCAAAAGAGAGAGTGTGTAGGATCTATTCTCTCTGCCCATATGTTGGTAACAAGGAAGGAGTAAATTTCTG